ACCGTGATTTGGGTCATCAACCTTTTCTCCAAAGGGCCTCGTGGCTCAGCAGACTAAAAGCATTGTGATTAACACCAGCTGTCTGCAATTACTGTAAATTCGAATCTCACCAGGCTCAAGGTTGACTCAGCCTTCCATCCTTTCTAAGGTAGGTAAATTGAGGACCCAGTTTGTGGGGGCAATAAGCTGACTTTGTATAAATATACAAACGTATGAAGGCTATTGCTTAACGCATTTTAAGCCGCCCTGAGTCTCCGGAGAAGGACGGCATATAAATCAAATTAAAAAAAAAAACAAATATACTTCATGGCTTGTCCCAAAATACCCTCAGCATGAACTCTAGAAAAGCTCTAGGAATGAGAAGGAGGGAGGGAGGGAGGAAGATGGAAATCAGGAAGCAGGGAAGGAAGGAGGAGAGAGGGAGGGAGCGAACATGAATAATTAATCACTATAAAAGACTCTCTCACATTGGCTGTTTCGGGTATTTGGAATGAAATCGCTTTACTAATCTCACTGCTTTGACATCCCTAGCCGCTACCGAGCCTGGGTAATCTTTCCACTGCATCAGGTACTGTAACTTTCTTCAGTGGTGTCTAGAATGTCTTTAATTTCATAGTGCTCCTCCCCCTTTGCAAGGACCAGAGGTGGAGGGGGTCCAGTGGTGGGTTTCAAATAATTCCATCACTGATTCGCTGAAAATGTGATTTGCGCACGTGCACGGTGAGGCTCAGCCGAGCAGCCTTTCGGGGCCTGCTCCCCATCTCTGCTCTCCACACTGCTTCTCTCCGCACTGCTGGGAGAGCGTCTTCTGTAATTTAGCAGCTGTGAGCTGCCGCTTTCCTCTAAGTCCCATCCGGACAGCACTGCAACTCAGAGAAGCAGCAGCCATGTTGAATGCTATTTCTCTCAGCCGCAGCGCTTTTCAGATGGGACTTAGAGGAAAGCTAAGTCCCAATTTAGCAGCTCACAGCTGCTAAATTGCACAAGATGCTCTCTAGTGCAGCAGGCTGCAGGCCGAATAAATTGCTTCGGCCCAGGGAGGCCATAGTTTGAAGCCAGAGGGAGGGAGTGACATGCAAGCAGAGGCCTGGGGCAAGGCTGGAGCCGGGGAATGGTGCATCCCCGGGCCCCGATCCAAGGTGAAGGGCGAGCAGGCAGCATGCTTGCCTGTGGTGAGTAGATCGGGCAAGGCACAGAGGCAAATGCAGAGATTAGCTGGGCCACGTGGCAAAGGCAAGATATATAGTTCGATTATCTCATTCTCCGGTTATTTCAAACGGCCTGAGACTCCTCTCCATTGTCGTGAGAGGACAATGGAGCCCAGATGACCCACGCCTAATGGCTTTGTACTTTTTCTCCGGGACCTTTTTTCTGACTATCATTGTTGAATCCCTGGCCACATGCCATCTTCACCCCTGGCTACCTGGATGTATTCAGCGGCCGAGCTCCTTGCGCTGCGAGACTCCCCCCTCTCGCAGGCCTGGCCCTCCGCACTATTGAGGGCCTAACTTGATGATGGGTTTTGGAACCCTGAGAGGTAGCATGCGGCAAAGAGGAGGTTGCTGGGGTTTTTAGCCAAATTATTAGTGAAGATTTTAAGGGGTTCTGGGAGGTGGATGGTTGGTTATTTGGACGGACTTGGGAGGATCCATACAGCTACAAAGCAGCGTAGCCTGTTTGGTGGTCATGGCGGGAGGGACAGGGATGGGAGCCTGGATGGGGTGCAGGGGGACGAGGGCTGTTTAATTAGTACTGTGGGTGGGAGGGGCAGATATGGTGGTAGCAGGGGCCATATTATGTTTCGGGAGTGCGCAATCGTTTGTGAGCGATTGCGCACTCTGGTCCCCAATGCGTTTCTCGTTCCCCGGGTTGCAGATCCTCAGGGCCTGGGCCTCCGGCTGATGCTGTGCAACACCAAGTCCGTGATAAATAAAGCCCCCCTCATTTATGATCTGGTTAAAGAGGGGGTGCTGACCTGGTGGGTATTACGGAGACCTGGTTGGGCCGGGTCTTCCCCTCATTGAAATGTGCCCACCAGGCTTCCGTGCATTCCATCAGCCGAGGGCTCAGGGTAGGGGTGGTGGGGTGGCGGCTATTATAAAGGAAAGTCTGTGTCCTAGGGAGACCACTGTACCTCAGATAGCCGGATGTGAGTACCTCCTTGTGAAGTGGCGTCATGGGGTGCAGATGGGCTTGCTGATTGTGTACCTGGCTCCCTGCCACATAGCGGCGGCTCTGCCTGAGCTGCTCAACGTAATAGCCGGGGTGGCGGTGGATACCCCCAGACTTATGGTCATGGGGGATTTCAACTTGCCATCCGTCGGTGAAACGTCAGAGGCAGCCCGGGAGTTCATGGCTTCCATGACGGCCATGGACCTGATCCAGTTAGTTCAAGGTCCTACTCACACGGGGGGACACACTCTGGACCTGATTTTTATCTCTGGTCAGTGATTGAATGATCTAGAAATAGGGGACATAGTCATCAAACCCTTGTCATGGTCAGATCATTCACTCCTTTGACTAGACTTTCAAGCTGCTACCCTCCACCGCAGGGAGACGGAACCAACTAGGTGGTTCCGTCCCAGGCACCTGATGGATCCAGATAGGTTCCTGACGGAGCCTGGGCCATTCCCTGAGGCTCTGGCTCACGACTGAAGAACTGGTGGCCGCCTGGGATAGGGCGGCCGCTAGAGCTTTGGACCGCATCATGCCTTTGCGGCCTCTGACCCGGTGCCGATCTCAATTGGCTCCTTGGTTTTCTGAGGAGCTGAGAGAGATGAAGTGCCGGAAGATGCCTGGAGACCGATTGGAGGGCCAGCCGCTCCAAATCTGACCAAACACTGGTGAGGTCTCATATTAAGATCTACCTAGTGGCGATACTGAGAAGACTGGCCTGAAAGCCACCAGTAAATGAAATGCCCATTTGAACATTGGGTGTCTCTAATGTCTCACGCAACTATTATACACCAGAAACTTTGGGTTTTCAAATTGACGCAGAGGGTTGCTGCCTTCTGTGTCAATTTGCTCCAGCTCCACTGTCTCTCAGATTAAGGGAAAAGAGCATCCATATCAGGGGTGGGTTCTACTTACCTTTATTGGTCCGCAACGGGGCCGGACGCACTCGCTTTGCTCATGCACTCTTCTGCGCAGGTGCAGAAGCATTTTGATGACGTCAGGGTCAGGGGCGGAGCCTCCCGTTCTATAGAACCGGTGCGAACCGGGGGCAACCCACCACTAATCTATATGCCAAAACTTGCTTGATTTCTGATGTAAAAGGTATATGCAAACACGGCAGCACATTTTAGTGTTCTGAATTTTAAAAACAGTTGCTCCAAGTATCAAATTACATGAAATAATTAAAATAACTAAAAAACACATTCTATGGAGTTGAGGAAAACATTGAGCTATCTTTCCTGAGTAGCTCATGCTTGAAGGTGTTAGAGACAACACCTTCACATTACTAAATAGAATAGCCAAAGTTTACATAAAAGTAAACTTTCCCCTGCCTAATTGTGTCCGCTTCTAGGGGGCGGTGTTCATCTGTTTCTTAGCTGAGGGAGCCAAGACCATTTCCGTGGTCATGTGGCCAGCATGGCTATATGCCAAAGCATGGACATCTTTGTTACCTTCCTACTGAAGTGGTACCTATTAATCTACTCGCATTTGCACTGGGGTGAGTAATGGGAGCTCTCTCATATGGCATTTGAGTCTCAAACCCAGGCTGTCACCTTTCCACGTGACAAGCTCAACATCTTTAACCACTGAGCCATTGTGCCCCCTTAAAGTTTTCATACTGTGGGTATTTTAGAGATACTACCTACCAGTTGCAGTATCCATTTATTTCTAGTCTTCATAGTAAAATGTTTATTGTTTGCCAAATTCCCTGTAATCTTTTAAGAATTGAACCTGACGAACTATTCCATGCTATGACAAAAGTCCAACTTTTTGTACATCTTTTTGACATTCTGATCACCAGCATCTTTAATTCTTGTGAATGAACTTTACCAAAATATATTGATGCCCGCAAAACTGTTCAGAGGTGTTATGTTAAAAGTGTTGACTTTGCTTCTGTGGTAGACATGGATAGACCATAAAGCTTTCTCTGGAGTAGAATTCGGAGATGGTTGCAAGAAATAATTGGAGAAGATATTGAATTGACACCAGAAATATTTCTCCTGGGAATAGTAAAGAAAGGTATGGAAAGGAAAAGGTCCACCTCCTGATACACATAACTACAGCTGCTAGACTGGCATACGCACAATACTGGAAAGAGAAAGACCCACCACCGGAAGAACTTAGCATTAGGAAAATATTGGAGTGCGCAGAGATAAATAAATTAACCCATGAAATAAATAATGATGAGAATTCATACTACTATACCGTGTGGGGAAGGTGATACGAATGGATGAATGATAAAATTAAGGAAGGAGAAAAAGGTGCAAAAACCAATTAGAACTATATAGTATAAGTGACACCAGTTTTTTTTTTTTTTTAATTTGATTTATATGCCGCCCTTCTCCGGAGACTCAGGGCGGCTTACAATGCGCTAAGCAATAATGTAATTTTAATGTAATTATGTATAAACACTGCATATCCGATGTCAAACAGAATTGTCATTATATTTTTATGTATATATAATAAAATCAATAAAATATTTTTTAAAAAAAAGACCATAAAGCTTTCTACTGAAGACAAGTCTGAGCAATTGGATCCTTGAGGGACAGAAACAAACTGTCTATGGAATTCATTTTTATTGCCTAGGAAAACAGTCTCCACCTGCTCAGAAGCCTCGTTCAGGCATCCAGCCCCAAAAGACTGCCACCCTCACAGCAGCAGCTACTTTGCCAACTCAAGCAACTGATGCAGAATCTTCTTCTGGCCATATCGCACTTGGAGGGCAAATTGCTCCCGGCAGCTTAATTCCAAATAAGCCTGCAAGTCTCCCAGCATTGTTTCTTCCTCTTTCAAACTGGAGGAGAAAGCCTTCAGTGTTAGTATTGTGGCATCAAAGAGAAGCTTCTTTTGAGCAGCACTCAGGTTGGGTATCATAGTAACTGACTGGATCAAGCAAGCAGTCCCTTTTCCATCAGTTTTGGCCTCTTTAAACTCCTTGAATTCCTCTGCAGACATAGTGAGCACCTGCAGTAAGACATACAAACACAAACATACCACCCCCAGTTCGAGATGTCAACCAAAATCAAATTTCACCAGGCAAACTCACTTTTGGGTTTTAATCTAAAACTGCTTTTCTCAGTGGATTTCAAGCAGGCCCAGCTCATCTTTTGTTAAAAGTCTACCAATTTCATCCTTTGCAGGGTTTTGTCTTACATGCTGAATGCATGTAAAATGCATGTCGCAAGACAGCGAGAACGCTCATAGAGAAGAAGAGAATCGAGGACTTAATGGAAGTATTTTGCAAAACACCTAGCTAAATGTAATGCATACATAAACATAATGGGATGACAACGAGATGGTAATTTTCACAAGTGGAACACTTAAATTTTTCTCTTTTACTTCTCTAGTAAAATGTAGTATTGGTGCTGTTCTGCAATCACATGTTTTTCTGTGCTGGAAATATATTCCTACATCTTATTAAACAGGTAGAGGAAAACATCAGTAGGGACTCAAAAAATCTTGTTTGTTTATTTATTCCAATTTCCTGAATCATACAAAGGAGAGAAGGATGCTCTACTCCAGGAGATATTGTGTCTTTCCTAACACACCATTCCAAGCTCTAGTCCTCCTCTAGTCCTCTGAAGAACAGGAAAGCATCCAAACCCATCTACTCTTTAGCCCAAGATGCTGCACAATCTGCCCACCAAAACCAGGACTGCTACTCTGGGATGTCTACTCAGGCAGTAAAAGTTCATCCAAAACCTTACAACTAGAGCCAGAGCTAACAATTGTTTTGGCTCTTCAACCTCAAGAGCAAGAAGGAGCCACAGGACAACAGGAAGTTTCCGAACCCCATTTTGGCAGTACCCAGAACTCTTCCAAGACCATGTCAGAAATCTCTTTGTCATTTGGGATCAGGAAAATACGACTGTAATGTAGCATAATACAGTTGTAAAACAAAACAGGCCACTTCATCACTAAACATTCTGAGGGAAAACCCTCATCCTTGCTCAAAGCAATTGACCATCCTGCATCAGCAACCTGCTTGTTCTTTCCTCAACAATGTGAAAATACCACCAACAGTACCACCAGCCTGTTCCTGGCTTAGAGCAAGAGAGGGACTGGGTCTTTCCAGGACCACAATGTCCAAGGCTTCAGGCATGAGACCTCCTGAAGCAGCCTCTTTTCATTCAGCAGTTCTACACCACCTGAAACTTTCCACAGCTACTTCCATGTCTCCATTTTCCTTCTAGGACCTTCCACTCTGATGGTCCATACTGACCTTTTTCAACATAAACCTTCCTCTGTCAGAAGGAACTATCCTTCCCGGCTGGCTCTGTGTGAAACAATAGTGGTTAGCAGAACAAACCAAGGGGAGCTAAGCCATCTGAGGGACATTGTGAGATCCAAGTTTTTATTTCAGGAGAGCTTCTTTTCATTGCAGTAATGACACAGCTAAAGGGCTTAGATAAAGTATGGCTAGTCTAGCGAAAAGGACGACAAGGACTGACAAGGATAACAATGTTCAAATATTTGAGGGGCTATCACAAATAAGGAATTGAAGATAGATCTGCGCTGACGTCACAGTGAGACAGTTGTGGCGAATGGAGCTCTGTGGAGCCCAACCCAGTTCTGCCTGTCTGGAGGCTCTTTGGAGCCAAAGTCACCCTGTAGGGGTGACTAAGATAGGAAGGGCCCTCTGTAGATCGCAAGTGGGTGGTGGTCCACTTTGCTCGATCCAGAGAAATCTTCCTGACAGGCAGAGAAGAAGATGGCCATTAATGGCTGAACCGGAGCTGTGACTGCCGGAACAAAGAAACATAGAAGCGGAAAGGGAAATCTAGATGCTCAGAAAGCACTTGACAATGTAAATTGGCAATTTATGGTGCAACAATTAAAATGTATGGACTTTGGCAAAAAATTTACTTTGGCAATCTACACAAACCAGAGAGCAAAAGTGATTGTGAATGGAGACATGACAGAAATGTTTTTACATAAAAAAGGCACAAAACTATATCCACTGTTATTTATATTAACATTGGTAGTGTTAACTAGAAATATTAGACAGGATATTAGACAAAACCATTAGAAACCAGCCCCAGATTGATAGGGAAAATTGAGGAGTATGGAGAAGTTGCAGGATTGAAAATAAACAAAGAAAAAACTAAAATAATAGTAAAAAACTTACAGATAAATAGAGAAATGAATTGACAAAGAAAGTAGATCTTCAGATAGTAAAGAAAGTGAAACATTTAGGAATCTACTTAACAGCAAGATGTGCAACAAAGATGATAACTATACAAAGTTAATGCAACAAATTAAGTTGGACTTGGAGAAATGGAAGAACATACAACTCTCAATGATAGAGAGAATAACTACTATAAAAATGAACATACTACCGAAGTTACTTTTCTTATTTCAAACTGTAGGAAGTTAGCACCCACCCCTTTCCTGGAAGAGTGAAATATTTTAGGAAATATGAAAAAGGCAGAATATTATATTTCCCTGGGATAAGCATGTTTTGAAGCAGCTCCCATCTTCCTGCCCCCACCCTTTGTCAATGGGCCATTAAGGCTTGGGCCAGTCTATTCTACATAACAAAGATCTACCTCCTTCAGGCAGAGCCATAGTAGGAATTGCCAAAGATCCAACAAAGATAGGATTAGCTCTCTACACAATATCAGCAGAAACTCACCACATGTGACCTGGGAAGCACATGTGACCATCGGCTAGCTAAGACCCCCACTCCCTGGGAGTCTGACAACCAATCAGAGTATTCTTTCTGGGCCCCAGGAAGTTCAAAGCCAGAGAGAGCATAAAACCTGAAAAACTCGCTGTATCTACCCTTTTCTGTTCAGGAACTCAAGCCATGTGATCCTGTCCACCATTAAACCATCTTTCCAAGCAGTCTCCATGTCTCCAGTGTCTTTTTCCCCACTTGGAGCAGAACCTAGAAGGAGATTTCTTCCAACAAAACAATAAAGCAAGAAAATATTGGATGAAAATACATACATGGTTGGAAAAGATGATTAAGCAGCATGTAGATTTAAAACCAGAAATATTCTTGTTAGGTATAATACCAGAAAGCTATGACAAAGGGACTATATATTTAATGTTACATCTATTGACAGCAGCAAGAATTGTTAATATAATATTGTTAAGCACAATATTGGAAAAACAAGAACACCCCATCAGATGAAAATATAATTCGGAAAATATTGGATTGTGCAGAGATGGATAGATTGACATTGAAATTAAAAGATAAAGGAGATACAGAGTAATTTAACATGGAGTAGGTTTTATCAATGGTTAGAGATAAGAGGTAGAAATTAGATGAAGAAAGAGCATTGTTATGTTCAAATAAAATATGAATGTTGTTTATAACTATGTATGCTAATATAATCAATAGAATTATAAATAAGCTAATATAATTATAAATATGGTTAGAATTATTTTGTTGTATTATCACTAGTACTATCAGTATATATGTTACTTTTTCTTTTGTAAAATGGTATGCCCAGATAATACACTGTATTCAAAATACTTATATATAAATTTTAAAAAAAACCTGACTTAAAAAAACCAAAAAAATAGGCCAAAAAAACTGGCCTATTTTCCAAAGCACCAAAAGGCAGGACAAGAAAAAATGGGTGGAAATCCCAAAGGTGCTTTTTCAAGAAGCAACTGGACTTTGTTTTTCTTTAAAGATGTTTCACTTCTCATTCAAGAAGCTTCTTCAGCTCTAACTTTGCATTCTTTTAGAGTCATTGAGGCCACTTCAAGGTTTATCTGTGTCCTCAGGGTCACCTGAGTAGTGTAAATGGGTGTGTTGGACACAGGTGCAGGCTGTTGGGGATGAGTCTGCCTCTCAAAATGAAACACAAATGGCCCCTGTAGTCTGCATTTTTCCCCTGGAAATCCATTCATACTCCCATACCATTCGAAGGGTGTTCATCCTAAAGTGCATAGCTATTATATCTATGGGGATTCTCCAGGTTGACTGGACTGGTTGTCCCAAAGCTGCTTTTTCAAGAGGCAACTGGACTTTCTTTGGGACAACCATGACCTGGATGACTGAGAATGGTGTGGGAGTATGAATGGATTTCCAGAAAAATTGCAGACTACAGGAACAATTTGCACTTCAGTTTGAGATGCAGACAACACAGACTCATCCCCAACAGCCTGTGCCTGTGCCCAACAATGAAGTATAATTATATAATTATAATCTATTTAAAAACTTTTCTATAGATTATAATTGCATCTGTGAGATACCTAATTGGCCACTGTTTTCATAAATGAATTATGTGGAACTAAATTGAGATCTTCAGCTGCCACCCTCAGGTCATAGGCACTAGGATTGGTCTACTCCACCTCAGAATACTGTGACCCGGTATGGCTTAGCAGCTTCCAGACTAGTAAATTAGACACCAGAATCAACACCATGAGGTGTTGCATTAAAACCATTCCGACCTGCTGGCTTCCTGTTCTAAGCCATATAACGCTGCCAGCTTTACAAAGCCAAGATGCACTAGTGAGAAAATGCAAATATCATAGACAACTCACTCCTACTGATGCACACTGCCCTTCAATTATCAGCCGGAAAACTCAATAGCAATAGCACTCTCCAAATGATTTATAGAGTCAGCATATTGCCCCCAACAATCTGGGTCCTCATTTTACCAACTTTGGAAGAATGGAAGGCCGAGTCAACCTTGAGCTGGTGAGAACTGCTGGCGGTTGGTAGAGTTGGCCTGCAATACTGCATTCTAATCACTGCGCCCCCATGGATTCGAATCCAAGAAGCCTCCGTTGGCATTTGCGCAACATCTCCCACCAAATTTAACATCAATTCCCAATGGAAATTAAATGGGTTGCTGAACACCTGGTGATAGGAAGACATATAAATGACCCCACAAAAAAGTTTAAACTACATCAGCAATGGACAATCCTGAATGGATTCACACCTCACAGAATCTGCTGGACTCTTTGTATAAATGGGGCCTAGTATCTTCCCCTCAATGCGACTATGAGCTCCCACATCAAACCGTAGACCACATCGTGAGCAGATGCAAACTGAGGGCATCTACCAGTCCAGTATCTGATTTCGTTCATATAAATGATGCTGTGCTTCAATGGTTAGATGACCCAGACCAGTGATGGCTAACCTTTTTGCCATCATGTGCCAGGAAAGGGGGGGGGGGCGGGGGAGGTTCGCGCATGCTTGCCCGCACCCATAATTCTATGTGCCCTGCCCCACACATGCACGCACAACCCCCTCTCCCCCCAAGCTTCTGGCATGTGATGGCCCAGTAGGCCCATTTTTCTTTCTCACCTGGCTCCAGATCCTCTATGCATCTGGGGAGGGCGAAAACAGCCTTCCCCACTCCCTCAGAGGCCCAAAATGGCCCGTTTTCCAACTTTCAGTTGGACAGGAAGTGATGGTTTTTGCTGTCTCCAGCCTCCAGAGACTCCTAGACATCCCCCACCCCCCGTCCTCCGGAGGCAGGAAACAGCCTGTTTCCCTACTTCTGGTGGGCCCAGAAGGCCTGAAAATCAGCGTGCGCCGGAGCTGAGCTGGCGTGCCAGGCATGGCTCTGCGTGCCATCTGTGGCACGCGTGCCATAGGTTCGCCATCATTTTTAACATTTAAATTTTATTGTGTTTTTGAAACTTTGGCAGCTATGTGCCTCTTCTTTTCAACTTGCTATTAGAGTAAGGAGTAGGAGGTGTTGCTTTAGAATGGGTTAGATGGAGAAATGAAACCTCAATGACTCTGTTGAAAACTGAGAGTCTAAAACCTTTTCAAGGACATTGTAGCAGGTGTGGAGTTGAAGCAGACGGTTCTCAAAACAATGTGAAGTTGTTTATATGGACTATGTGAGAGGTTGGGGGTGAGGTCTGCAATGCACAAAAAAAAAAGATGGAGGGGTGAAACAAGGGGGAACTCCCCTCCTGTGGCCATTGACTATAATCCAGATGGGAGAGGCAGACTTGCCGACCGGGGTTATTATTTATTATTTTATTATTTATTTATTATTTGGATTTATATGCCGCCCTATCTCCAAGGGCGGCTCACAACAATAAAACACATAAAGTCCAATCCTTCTTTTAAAAATACTCAATAAAACTATAAAACTATAAAAACCATTAAAATCCCCTCTAAAACCCCTTCAGTCCAAGTCAGCCAGGCGAAATAGCCATGTTTTAAGGCCATGGCAGAGAGAGCGAAGGTCAGGGGCCACCCGAGCCCCAGGGGGAGCTGATTCCACAGGGTAGGTGCGCCCACAGAGAAGGCCCGTTCCCTAGGGATCGCCAGCCGACATTGTCTGGCCACCGGCACCCCAAGGAGGCCCTCCCTGTGGGAACGCACCGGGCGATAGGGAGCTGTCGCTGGCCGTAGATGGTCCGCCAAATACCCCGGGCCTAAGCCATGTAAGGCTTTATAGGTGATTACCAGCACCTTGAATCTCACCCGGAGGGCAACTGGTAGCCAATGCAGGTCCCGCAGGATGGGTGTAACATGAGAGTGTTGGGAGCAGCCGCATTCTACACCAGCTGAAGCCTCCGAGTGGTCTTCAGGGGCAGCCCCATGTAGAGAGCGTTGCAGTAGTCGATCTGGGAGATGACGAGTGCTTGAGTGACTGTCCAGGTAGGGGCGCAACTGGCGCACCAGACGAATCTGGGCAAATGCCCCCCTGGTCACGGTCATAACATGATCTTCCAGAGTCAGCCGTGAATCCAGGAGGACGCCTAAGTTGCGCGCCCTATCAACAGGGGGCAACACCTCACCCCCTATAACCAGCGATGGAATATTCCCTTGGAACCGAGATGCCGGTATCCACAGCCACTCTGACTTGGCAGGGTTGAGCTGAAGCCTGTTCCTCCCCATCCAGAGCCGCACCGCTTCGAGGCACCGGGACATCACGTCGAGGGCATCACTGGGCTGATTCAGGGTGGATATAAAAAGTTGGGTATCATCAGCATACTGATGATACCCCACCCCAAAACCACGGATGATCTCCCCCAGCGGCTTCATATAGATGTTGAACAGAAGGGGAGAGAGGACCGACCCCTGAGGAACCCCACAAGTGAGGGGCCTCGGGGCAGACCTCTGTCCCCCCGCCAACACCCCTTGCGAACGCCCGGAGAGGTAGGAGGAGAACCACTGTAGAACAGTGCCTCCCACTCCCAACCCCTCAAGGCGTCGCAGTAGGATACCATGGTCGATGGTATCAAAAGCTGCCGAGAGATCTAATAGGACCAGGACAGAGCCCTCCAGAGATCATCCACCAGTGCAACCAATGCCGTTTCCATGCTGTACCCGGGCCTGAAACCCGACTGGCACAGTGTTTCAGATATAGTGTTTCATCCAGGGCCAACGGGAGCTGATGTGCCACCACGCTCTCAACAACCTTCGCAATAAAGCGAAGGTTGGGGACAGGATGAAAATTATTCCAAATAGCTGGATCCAAGGCAGGTTTCTTGAGGAGGGGTCTCACCACCTCCTCCTTCAAGGCGGACGGGAAACTCCCCTCACCCAAGGGTTCATCAGTATCAGAAAGCTGAAGTAATACAGGAGTTGTTCCTCTGTTCCTGGTACTATTAGACCTCTCAATGGCTTTTGATACCATCGACCATGATATCATGCTGCACCGGCTAGAGGAGTTAGGGGTGGGGGGTACCGTCCTACGGTGGTTCTCCTCCTTTCTCTCTGACCGGTCGCAGTCCATGGTGACAGGGGGGCAGAGGTCGACCCCGAGGCCCCTTGTATGTGGGGTGCCAAAAGTCGGTCCTCTCGCCCCTTCTGTTCAACATTTATCTGAAGCCGCTGGGTGAGATCATCCATGGTTTCGGGGTGAAGTACCACCAGTACGCTGACGACACTCAGCTGTACATCTCCACCCCGGACCACCCCAATGATGCCCTTGAAGTGATGTCCCGGTGCCTGGAGGCTGTGCGGATTTGGATGGGGAGAAACAGACTCAGGCTCAACCCATCCAAGACCGAGTGGCTGTGGTTTCCGATATCCCGATATAGTCAGTTGGTGCCACCACTAGTGGGGGCAAGTCCAATAGTGGGGGCCCCCACGGAGAGGGCTCGCAACCTGGGTGTCCTCCTGGACTCATGGCTGTCTTTGGAAGAGCACTTGACGGCTGTGGCCAGGGGGACTTTTTATCAGGTCCGCCTGATTCGCCAGTTGCGTCCCTTTCTGGATTGGGACTCGTTAAATATGGTCACTCATGCTCTCGTTACTTCCCGCCTGGACTACTGCAATGCTCTCTACATGGGGCTCCCCTTGAGGAGCACCCGGAGGCTCCAGCTGGTCCAGAATGCGGCCGCGCGGGTGGTTATGGGAGCGGCGTGGGGTTCCCATGTGACCTCCCTCCTGCGTGAGCTGCACTGGCTCCCGGTGGTCTTCCGGTGCGCTTCAAGGTTTTGGTTACCAACTTTAGAGCACTCCATGGCATCAGACCGGGGTATTTACGAGACCGCCTTCTGCTACCAATAGCCTCTCACCGACCAGTACGCTCCCATAGAGAGCCATCATTCTCAGGGTGCCATCGGCCAAACAGTGTCGACTGGCGGCCCCCAGAGGGAGAGCCTTCTCTGTGGGGGCACCTACCATCTGGAACGAGCTCCCCCCGGAGATACGGAGGATCCCGGATCTACGCACGTTTCATCGTGCTCTCAAAACATTTTTATTTCAGCAGGCTGGCCTGGCCTAACTCTCCCTTTTAAATTTTTAAATCGTTTAATCTGTTTTACAAATTGGGTGTTTAAAATTTGTTTTTGGCCAAAATATTTAATAATTTTAATGGACTTTTAATGTTTGTATTATCTGTGTTTTATCTTGGCTGTTCACCGCCCTGAGTCCCCCGGGAGTAGGGCGGTATAAAAATTTGATAATTAATTAATTAATTAATTAATTAAGCGAGCCACCACTTACTGCTGAAGGAGGGAGGCACATGAAGGCTCCTTGCCTGGCACCAAGAACTACATGGGTGAGTGGCCTCAGGAAGGCAGTAGATGAATTTCCTTTAACTTTATCAGAGGCTTGGGCAACAAAAGGCAACCAAAAGATGAAATGAATGGGGAGAACCAGTGGAGTGGAGGCTTCTTGTGCCACCCCAAAGTGGGTCCCACTCACTCGATTTTGGGTCCCACTCACCAGTTTGCTACACCATCCCCATTCTCCTAACAGATGGTAGTTTATGTCACCCAACTGGAGTATTTGACTTACTTTCTGGCTCAGGTGTGGAATTATTTAGAAAGATATGAAGGCAGATACCCCAATGATGGATCACATGTGAATACTATTTCCACGAACCTGGAAGGGATGCAGCGAAGTGGTTGGTGTATAAGGATATAAGGATATGGTGAGGCGGCCCCAGAGCTCCAGGATGTGGATGGCTTCATGCTACGGAATCAATTTGAAGATCCCACTGAGGCAAGGAAGATGTCAGCGTTCCAAATTATGATCTCCTCCAGCGCTGACATGAATGAGAGAGGGAGAAGCTTTGCTTTAATGCTGAGATGAACTTTTACCTAGTTTCCTGCTCTTTAGTAGATAGCGTTACCTGGGTGATAGAGGGAGGGGGGAATTCCTGTGAAAAGAAAGTGCTTGGGACGAAGAGATGGATCTGCACGATGGCCAATGAGACATTGGGGTTGAAGAACGGAAAGGGAGGGGTTTGGAAGGAGGTGCCAGTTTTGGCTGCACAAAGAGTTCAGGGATGTCGTTCTTTCTATTCTTAAATAAAAAAAAGATTCATTAGAGACCTTGCGTTTGAGAATGAAGTTTATTTAAGATAGCAGCGAAACCTGACAGAAGACAGATGTGAGAATCCAGACGATCAAGCAAGGGAAGCAACCGGTTGCTGAATACATTAGGGAATTTCGTAGCCTTGTGACTTGTCTGAGAGGGTGGCCTGAGCATATGCTGATCTACAAATTCCGAGATGGATTAAGCAAAGAACTACAGTATATCACAGATGTGAGTACACCCTCTCACATTTCGTAAATATTTAAGTATATCTTTTCATTTGACTGAAGAAATGACACTTGGCTACAATATACAAGAGTATACAGCTTGTATAACAGTGTAAATGTGCTGTCCCCTCAAAATAAGGCAACACACAGCCATTAATGTCTAAACTGATAGCAACAAAAGTGAGTACACCCCTGAGGGACTTCCGGTTTGGTGTCACGGGGATGCAGTCTGGGAAATAGCAGGGCTCTGAAGAGCCCCGCACAAACCCCGACTGGCAAACCGCCGCTAACAGGTCTGTGGACCTACCCTGTCCTGAAGGGACAGGGGAGAAAGAGGGACCCCTTGGGCGGCCGAGAGGAACGGGCAAGTTCCTCGGAGGCCGGAGGCAACCCTCTAAGTCAGCGGCGGGGGACGGCAGCCATGGCGGCTGCCTCGAGACCGTGACAAATCAAGACAAGCAACACGCAGGAGGAAGGAAGAGAGGACGATGTGCTTCGGAGCCGGGTGAGTGACACCAACCCAACGTGTGAATAAGGATATTTACAAATAAGACTCCCAGCCTTACCTAGCGGCTGAAGATCTGAGGGGCTTGAAGAATAAGGAAAGATCTGAGGGGCTTGTAAAATAAGGAAAGGAGTTAAAGACCCTTCAAGACTCCCTGGAGTCATGTGGCTCAGTGGTACAAGGTCTCAGGTGTGAAGGGGTAGCGAGTGTGTTAAATTTCGTGTTATCGCTCTCACTCTCTCATATTGGTCACCGGAAGTTCAACATGGCACCTCATGGCAATGAACTCTCTGAGGATCTGAAAAAATGAATTGTTGCTCTTCATAAAGATGGCCTAGGCCCATGATAGCGAACCTATGGCTACAGGTGGCACGCATAGTCATATCGGTGGGCACGTGAGCTCAGCTCCGGCATGCATATGCGCACCAGCCAGCTGATTTTTGGGCCTTCTGGGCTCACTGGAAGTAGGGAAACAGGCCGTTTTCTGCCTCCGGAGGGCCTCGGGGGGGAGCCGTTTTTGTCCCCCCCAAGCTCCTAGAAAGGCTCTGGTGCCTGGGGAGAGAGAAAAACAGGCCTACCGGGCCAACCATACCATCACATGCCAGTAGCGGGGGGGGGGGAAGAGAAGAGGGTCGCATGCGCATACGCGGGGCACATAGAATTATGAGTGTGGGCATGCATCCGTGTGACACCCCTCCCCCCCCACCCCCCCGCTCCTGGCACGCGATGGCAAAAAGGTTAGCCATCACTGGCCTAGGCTATAAGAAGATTGCCAAGACCCTAAAACTGAGCTGCAGCACGGTGGCCAAGACCATACAGCGGTTTAACAGGACAGGTTCCACTCAGAATGGGCCTCGCCATGGTCAACCAAAGAAGTTGAGTGCCCGTGCTCAGCATCATATCTAGAGGTTGACTTTGGGAAATAGACACATGAGTGCTGCCAGCATTGTTGCAGAGGTTGAAGGGGTGGGGGGTCAGCCTGTCACTGTCAGCCAAACCTGGCTCGAGGGTTCAATCAACCTATAAAATAGAAAATGGCTGCCTCTATAATATTTAGAGATAAGGATGGAGGCCTTAGAATGTGTGTTGATTATAAAAATCTTAATGCTATTGTCAAGTTCGAAGTGTGCTTATACTGTTACAACCATTAACTGCTTCTCAGCTTGCCAAACAACAAGGGAGAAGAGGAGGGGCAGATTGGAATGTCAGTTCCAGACTATAACAAGAAACTGTTTCATGTGAACTAGGGTCATTTCAGCAGGTGTTTGTCAGAGCCATGAATACTTTGATATCTAACCACACCTGGAATACTGCAACCAATTTTGATCACCATACTACAAAAAAGATGTTGAGACTTTGGAAAAAGTTCAGAGAAGAGCAACTAAGATGATCAAAGGTCAAGAGACTAAAACATATGAAGAACGAGTGCAGGATTTGGGTTTGGCTAGTCTAAATAGAAGAATTAGGGGTGACATGATATTCTAGTATTTGAGGGGCTTCCAGAAAGAAGAGGGGGTCAAATTATTCTACAAAGGACAAGAAACAATAGTTGGAAACTAACAAAAGACCCCTCAGGTCGGAAGGTGTCCAATACTGGGGAAGAGCAGAGGGCTAGTACTAGAGTGAAGAGTAAAGCCACTGGGCCAAAGCCGAAAGGACGCTCAGCTGTGGATGTATCTGATGGTGAAAGGAAAATCCGATGCTGTAAAGATGTTTTCTCCATAGGAACCTGGAATGTCAGATCCATGAATCACGGCAAGCTGGACGTGGTCAAACAAGATTTGACAAGACTGAACATTGACATCTTAGGAATCAGCAAACAAAAATGGACAGGAATGGGTGAATTTAATTCAAATGACCATCAGGTATACTAATGCAGACAAGAATTCCTCAGAAGAAATGGAGTAGCCTTCATAGTCAATAAAAGAGTAGGAAAAGCAATACTGGGATACAATCCCCAAAATGACAGAATGATCTCAGTTCGAATCCAAGGCAAACTATTCAAAATCACAGTAGTCCAAGTCTATGCCCCAACCACTGGTGCTCAAGAGGATGAAATTGACCAGTTCTATGAAGCCCTACAGCACCTTACAGAATTAAGACCAAAAAATGATGTCCTTATTATCATGGAGGATTGGAATGCTAAAGTAGGAAGCCAAAATAAGGCATATAAATCAAATTTAAAAAAAAAAAAAAAAGATAACCGGAGTAACAGGCAAGTTTGGCCTGTTACTGACAAAATGAAGCAGGGCACAGGCTGATAGAATTTTGTCAAGAGAATACAATAGTCATAGCAAACACTCTTTTCCAACAACCCAAGAGACGACTCTACACCAGACGATCAACACATAAATCAGATTGACTATGTGCTCTGTAACCAAAGATGGAGAAACTCTATACAGTCAGTAAAAACAAGACCAGGTTTTGTAGCTCAGATCATGAGCTTCTCGTTGCAAAATGTAGGCTTAAATTGAAGAAAGTAGGGAAAAACACTAGGCCACTCAGGTATATATGATTATATCCCTGATGAATATACAGTAGACGTGACAAATAGATTTAAGGAATTAGATCTGGTAGACAGAGTACCTGAAGAACTATGGATGGAAGTAGCAACTAAAACCATCCCAAAGAAAAAGAAATGCAAGAAAGCAAAATGGTTGTCCGAGGAAAGAAGGGAAACGAAAGGCAAGGGAGAAAGAGAAAGATACACCCAGTTGAATGCAGAATTCCAGAGAATAGCTAGAAGAGATAAGAATGCATTCTTAAATGAACAGTGAAGGAAACAATAGAATAGGGAGGATCAGAGATCCCTTCAGCTAAGTTTGGTCAAGACATTTGTGCAGCATATTTATAGGCTGCATGGAGTCCCTAAAAGTATCATCTCAGACAGAGGGGTGAAGTTCCCCACAAAATTTGGGAGAGAATTCATTTGATCAATAGGATCGTATCAATGACTCAGTTCTGGATTTCATCCTTGTCACTGAGTGGCAGAACAAGCAAATGCAATGATAGAACAATATATAAGATGCTATGTAAATTGACATGATTGGGCTGAATTATTGTTTGCTGAAGTAGCATACAATAATGTGTTACATAGCAGCACAGGACTTACCCCTTTTAAAGCCGGATCGAATATCTGGCTATGCCTGAGATCCCTCAAGAAACCCCCTCTTCAACATCATTAACAGAGCACATGGCTTGAGGTAAGCAAAGCTTTGGGAAAAGCATAAAACAGTAAAAAAAAAACCCAACAGTTGAGTGGATAAGAAAAGATCTACTCAAAGATGCCTTTCTACTGCAATCAGTAGGAGAGCTTTGGGTTTCACATCCAGCCAAAGTGGTTAATTGGAGAATGTGATTTATGACATGGCCAGGGAGGAGGGGAGAGACAAGGTCATAGGGGAACGTAAATCTATGTGGGATTAATTCTAACTGCATCCAAATATTGCCAAAATGGTGCTCCTTTAACCAAAATAATTTCCAGATTAGGAGGTCAAATCACTCACCTGTAATGCCACCGAGAGTTCCTCCTCAGTGAAAACTCTCTCCCAGCCAATCACAAACGCCCCTTCCTCACCCACCATTTCCTGATGGCAAAGGAAGTTCCATTGGTCCATGACCAGCTTCTCTTCCATGTCTGTATCTGTGGCTGATTGAATAACATACAGTCAGAAGCAGCTCTGAAATGCTTGTTTGAGAAAGAAACAAACCTGTCCTTCTCTGGTTCAAAAACCTTTTGTCTTCCTGGTTTAAATGAATAGTGGCAAAGTAGCAGTTCTCTCCTACTTAAGTGTGATCTAGTTGGTTGGAATTTACAATTAAGCAACTTTCTCAATCTGGTGAACACAACTGAAATGTTCGGTGCAGAAGAGACTTCAACTCCATTCTAAGAAAACTGAGTGGCTGCAGCTGTTTTGGCCACCAGGGTCAGGGAAGTTACCACCCTTGGGTGGCCTTGTGCTTCACCAGTTAAGGCCCTTTGGGGTCCTTCTGGACTCCCAGCACTGCTTAGAGCAGGTGGCAACCATGGCCATGAGGGCCTTTGCAGGGGTTCTCCTGGTGTGCCACTTCTGCCCTTTCCTCAGTTGGAAGGCTCTTCAGTTTTCACACCCTGCTGAACTCACAATTGGATTATTATGCTGCATCTACATGGGTTCATATAGTTGGCTTAAAATGCAGCAGTACCTGCAGCAACAGGCCTATCAACCAGCCCTCAATGGATTGTCTTCAATCATTTCTGAAGTGGTGTAGGGTTTCCTGCCTAAGCAGGGTGTTGGACTAGAAGACTTCCAACTCTGGTCCTGTTCTGTTCTGTTCTATTTTTATTTCTGTCTGTCCAGGAAATTCCTACAAGTGAGTGTGCTTTCCAGGTTCTCTTTTTGTTACTGTCAATCAATCTGTTCTGCCATGAACAGTCTCTAGTTCAATTGAGCTCTATTAGAGGCAGAAAGTCCTCAAACACTGGAAGTGCCCTCCACTTCTCTGAGTGCTATATAATCAATCACAATGGCCTCTCCAGCCCACCTTCCATTAAGCTTTCAGGAGATTTTCAGATGATGACCTGCCCTCATGGGCGAGGTGTTGTCTGACTGAACCTTTCTGTTCTGAAACAGAAAATCTCCGGTTTTCAATTTGAGGTGTTCCTCGTGCTAAATAAGGAGTGAGCCACTTGCCTTGAAGTGCAGCTTTCAGCAGCGTCGACATTTGGATGTCAGCAGTGTCATTGGTGTTGCCAGGGTAAGCCTCAGCAAAGCCATACATGTGGAGGAGCTGCGAGTTGGCCATTTCTCCGTATGTGTTGAAGATCTCCTGGCCTTTGCGGACAGGCTGAGTGGTGACCATTTTCAAGGACTCCTGCCAAGACAGCAGGAAAGCTTCAGATTCCTTCTTCTTTTGCTCTCCTGAGTTATCTCTAGAAAAAAAGCTTTGCCTGCCAATCATCTGCAGATGATTGTCTCTCAACATAAGTCATTTTCACTTCTACTAAGTGCTGAGCTGTGCTTACTCCACTGACCTAGAACAGGGCATCCAGGGCAGGGCACAAAAAGGTATCCCTGCCCTGGATCCCTCTTCAAAGTCTTCTTGGAAATGCACGTCTCAGGGCAATGCAATCTCAAGGATGGCAAGTGAGGCTGTTGCTCACCGGAGAATATTCCAAGTTGGCATTGTGGTTGGCCACGTGATTTAGAAGATCTGCCAGGGGCACCATCACTGGAGGATTAGGTTCTTCCTCCTCTTCTTCCTCATTCAGAGGTTCTTGGAAACTGCATCAAATGAGAAAGAAGTGACTGAAGTTCTTGAAGGAGAACAAAATTACATTGAGGCAAATAAGGAGGGCAGCTATGGGATCCCAAAATCTGCTGTAACTAGTTGTAACTAGGCTGACAGCCAAGCGGCCACTAAATCCATAAATTATTTGGTTAAGGTTTCTTCAGTGTCCAAACTAAGTAAAAACTATAGAAGCTTTCTACTAAAACCTCAGAAAACAGATGGTTGCAGTAGTTATGCGTTATATAGTAAGGCTAGTCCTTGTTTAGTGACTACAACTGGGACTGGCAGCTGTCATTAAATGAAGTGATTACTAAGTGGAAAATCATGTGACAGAAATCATGCTTTCCTTCTCTATCCCCCTTAGAATGCTCACATTGGCACTGAAATAATTAGCAAGGGGGGAATGTTTGTATTTAGAGAGTAAGCTAATAATAAATAAAAACGAATAAGATCCATGGCAATAGGATGATCAAAAATATTTTAAGTATTTTAATTATTTTAAATTTATTTTTTGGTTTTATAATATAAGCTGCTCAGAGTCAATTGTTGAGAGTTATCTACAGAAATAAAATAAAAAGCAAATAAGTAAAACAGCAAGAAATATATTAGGCTGTTTGCATGATGCGCTAGCAGCTGCCACTGCCACTGCCTTGCTTTTGATGTGTATTCCCCATTAGGTACTTGCTTACTCTCTTGTAATCCCTTCCTCTCCAACCCCTCTGGTCTGCAAGAGAGAAGAAAAATAACAAGTCAGAGACACATTGGGTGTCAGTAATGGTGATCACATGATCAGGGGACACCATAAATATCATAAATGTAAGCACTGGTTGTAAAATTATTATTTGCCACTATTGTACTTCAAACAGTCCCTAAACAAGGCAGTTGGTAAGCAAGGTCTACCTGTATGTTTCCTTAAAATGCAACCGTTTCACATCTGTCCTGCCCAAACACTCCTCTCGGAGGCATATGTGGTTTTGATAAAATATTCTACCTGCAAAGAAACTTCTTTCTTTTATCAGGAAGATTTTCTGTCTTGCTTTCTGAGGCTGCCAATCCTTGGCCTCTTCCTCTTACCTGTAAGCCATGACAAATGCCACCAGCCTCCGATAGAGCTCCAGTGTGTGCACTTTCGGGTTGAAGAGATCTGGGTGGGCCTTCAGGAAGGGCAAGATGATAGATGAATACTCCATCTCAATATTGGCCAAGTCTTTCTCCACAGCTTCAAGGACTCCTGTCCCTTGCAGAAGCCGTGCCTGTTCTTCAGGACCCCTGCACAAGAGAGCCAGCAGAAAGAGCAGCTTCCTCACTGGAGGCGAATGCCATATTAGGAGACAAATTTCTTGTATGGCTAATCACAATTGGCCAAATAAAGTCATTCTATCCTATCCTATCCTGCCTCACCTCATCTCAAAAAAAGAAACTATGGAGGTTGGAAAAGCTTGCTAGTTCTTCACACATCCATTTCACACTTAAACACAGCTTTTGTATCTGCTTTGCAGAGAGATTTAAGTTTAGCTTCTGACAGAAAGCAGCTTTCATAACAGAAGAAAGGACAGCAGAAGAAGAGTGGAAAAGGGGGAAGTCTTAGAAACACCTAGGAGGCCTCTGGGAAGCAGCAGCTTTGAAACAGCTGCAGCTAAAATGGCTACCACAGACACAGCCAGCTTTACTGGCTGTTGAAGACAGACTATTGCAGGGCTGTCAAACTCCCGGCCCGCGGATCAGATGCGTCACACACTGGCCACACCCAGTTTAGCGAAGGGGGGGAAAGTCTTGATATGTCACATGACATCGCCATGACGTCATGAGTTTGACATCCCTGGACTATTGGGTTCAGCCTAGCCAGTTTTCCAGTTTAATTAGCATCTTAGATCAAACCAACCCAAGAAATGTTGAGAAATCCAGGAAGCTTGGCAATTCAGACAAATTAGCCCCTCTGTCTCTTTCTTCAGCTTCCTTCTTCTTAGCCACGGTCAGATCTTGTTATCTGCTTTGCCTGCTATTTTTTTAATGTGTGTGTCTTTTCTATTCTTCATTTGATCTTGTAGGCCAGCTTGATCTCTCCAGTCCTCCGTAGGCCTTCCTAGCTTCAGTGCATTGTCTTCACTGTCTGAACACTTGCTACAGTCACAGGTAAAGAAGCCAGTGCGGCAGCTCCTCTTACCAGAACATGGGGTGATCCAAATCAGTGAACTGGGGCCAGAGAGAGAAATAAGGCCCCCAACGGGAACTGCTAACTGTGCACTCGTAGAGGAGAGAAATCAGAAGAGGAACCCAGCCCGATGAGCTCTGAAGGGAGGCTTCTTCTAGTGAAGGCAGAGAAAAGGAAGGAGTGGAACATCAATGGAGGGAACAAATCCCCCCCCCCCCTCCAGCACTTCCAAGGAGCTGCAGACGGAGGAGCCCTCTGCCACCCTCCGGTGGGGCAAAGGAGTCTCTAAAGAACACTGCACTTCTCTGCCCAGAGATGGGAATCTCCCCCCTTGGCAGAATACTTGCATTTGCTTCTTAGACTTCCACCCCACCTTCCCTTCAGGGGAAGGGTTCAGAGCGAGCCACCACCACGGCAGAAAGCCGGGGCCCCTTCAGCACCCGACCCGCCTCATTGGCCCAAAACACGCTCCGATCCCCCCTCAGCACAAGCAGCGCCGGTACCTTTCCGCAGGAGGGGAGCAAGGGCGCTGGTGTGCTGGGACAGGAGCGCCGTCCTGGGGATGCTGAAGAGCTCTTCGCCGGCGACCAAGCTCTCCCTGGCCAGCAGCCCGTAGGCGGCCACGGTGCCCTCGCGGCTCACGCCGACCTGCAAGCAGGAGAGGGCAGCGGCCGAGAGAGGGGATCGCCGGTGGACCCCGGGGGAGGAGGGGCCCGGCAGGAAGGCAGGACGGGCTGCCGGGCTTCCGATCGTGCAGAAGCGCCCACATGCAAGGCGCGGGTGGGCGCATTCGGAGGTCCCTCGGGCGAAGGATCCGAGAGGGCCGCCATGAAACAGCCGCCACCTCTCGGACGCCGAGATCAGACCGGAGCCCCGGAGGGAGGCCCGAGGACAGGCGGGTGGGGGGGATGCTGTGTCTGCCCGAGAGCCGCACAACTCGGACTCGGTGCCGCGGCGCGCCATCCCACCAGAGACCCCGGCGCAGGCCTACCTTGGCGCTCAGCTCCACGCCGGCCTCGGCGCACCAGCGCAGGAAAGCAGGCAGGGCGCGCGCGGGAGACGCGGGGGAGCCGCGCCGGGGTCGCTTCGCCGCGCCCGCCATCGCCTTCGCCTTCGCCCGCTGGCTCGCAAGAGGCCGCAGGAACCCGGAAGGAGGGCAGCGGGCCGGAAGGGGAGACCGGAAGGAGGCGGGGCCGGAGACCCGAGGCGCCCCCCCCCCCCCCCCCCCCCCCCCGGGGCCCGGGGGCCCCCCCCCCCCCCCCCCCCCCCAAAACGCCGCGAGGAAATGAGCGAGAGCCGCCTGTGAAATAAAGATGCGGTTGTTTAATGTGTTCCAAGTCTACAATGCGCTGCAAAACATGACAATTCGGCCGGTTTCCGCCCCGGAGCCGGAACGAGGCAAAGGAAGATGCTCGCGATCACGGTGACGCGGCCCCGCCGAGGGGCTCGACGCCGGTTCTGGCAATGCGGGAGACTCGTCGTGCCCCGGGAGAGACCCCCACCCCCCCCCCCACAGGCCTTGCCCGGACAGCAGCCCCGTCCACCAACGGGAAGGGGCGGCTCTCCGGTCCCGGGAAGCTGCTCGGGGCCGCCAGTTCCAGGCCGGAGCCCGGATGCCTCTAAACCAGAGGCCGGAGGGGAGCGGAGAGTTGGGTGCCCGGGTCTCGAGGGGGCTGCCCAGCTAGGCTCTCCACGGGGACTCCCTGCTCCACGCAAAATGAACCAGGCAGTCCCCCCGGAAGGGGCCGAGTCCTCCTCCTCTTTATCCCCCCCCCCGTGGGACAACAAGCGGGGCCTTGGCTGGGGGATCGGCCTGACTAGCAGCCGCTTTGAATGAGAAACAGCTTCCGACTTTCCTGTCTGGGGCTCCTGCCTTTATCCCCTGAGGCCCATTTCCTAGCCTCCTAAGGGGAGGTTCCTGCCTGCATAGCTGTGCTGCTCCGACGTCCACCTGCTCTCAGCTAAGCGCCTTTGTGGAGTTGCAAATGCTGCTGACCCACCCCAGCCAGCACTCCTGCCCCCCCCCCCGCTGGGGGGTTGGGGAGGGCGGATCGGCACCACACTGTCCCCTAGTGGGAGCCGGGCTGTTGAGGAAGATCAAGCAGCTTCAGATCTTCCCTTCCCTGTGACCGGAGGCTCCTGCTGCTCCCACTGTGAGCCCCTCAAGGAAGGCCTCCATCAGGGGCTGCCTGCTGGGGCTGCCACTCTGATACCCAGGCAGTCGAGGACAAAGGAACTTTCCACACAAGACCCTACAGCTTGCAAGCCTTGTGCCTGGCCCACTTAGCAGTTCAACTGCAGCCCAAGCATCTGCCGGAGCTGCAGCTGGCTCAGCATTTGAGTTACAGATCAACTTCCAAGCACAAGACTAGACTAGCCTTGAATGCTGCCATTTTCTGCCCCCACCAATGGCCAGGAGCTGAGACTTGCTGGGGAAATGCTGGGCACACCAAGCAGAGAAGCTCTAACCTCAAGCTGGTCAATCCCAAGCTGTGCCCTGCTTGCCTCCAGGCTCTGGGGGAAACGGGCTAGTTCTGATGCTACAGGAACCAACAGGGCTGCTTGTGAAGGACGGATTGGAGCAAGGGAACACGGCTACCCTAAAATGACATCTCTAACAAACAGGAAGGCAGCCTTGGATAGGAAGCTGCTGCTTCCTCCTTCAACTTTGTATCTGTAATGGCATTGGGAGAGATGGGCAGACAAGGAAACGGAAGCCACGAGAAGCGGCAAAAACAGCGGCTGGCGAATGATGCGATGGTGGATGGCCACAGCTGCCTGAACAAAGGTGGTGGCCAAGGGAAGGCATCAGGAACTCTCAGCAGGACACCTCCATGGTGTGGTTGATCTGGCCCATAGCTTCGCTGCTTTCGGAATGGGTGCAGGCTCTGGGACGGCTGCCATCCACCGAACTGGCGCTGGTGAGGGAGGCTGTGCGTGAGCGGGCCAGGCGCGTCATGCTGGCCGAGGGCACTGCAGAGAGGCAGAACAAGGATTACTGGGGGGGGGGGGCGCTGGCTGGGCAGAGATTAACTCAGGCACCTGAGAAGATGGAACAACCAGGGAAGCGGCATTCTGCCTGACTTGTTTGGAGCCTGCTGGGATTGTGTTCAGTATGGCAGAATGGAACAACTCACCACAGCCGGCTCACCCTGGCCAGCTTGCCACAGGGCAACTCAGAGTGGGGCAACTCACCACGGGAGAATGCCAGAAGCGAGGGGAACCTCTTCCTCCGCTTCATCCTCCCCAATTTTTTTACTCAGTCCAAGCTCCAGAAAAGGAGGAGGTTCCCCTCAGCTCCAGCATTCTCCCATTACATTACATTATATTACATTAGGAAGAGCCTTGGTGGCGCAGAAGACTAAAGTGCTGTTAAGTAGCACCAGCTGCCTGCAATTACTGCAAGTTCAAATCTCACCAGGCTCAAGGTTGACTCAGCCTTCCATCCTTTTGAGGTAGGTAAAATGAGGACCCGGATTGTGGGGGCAATAAGCTGACTATAAAAAAGAACACTGCTTAGGGGGGGCCAAAAGCCCTACTAAACAGGTATATACAAAAGTATGAAGGCTATTGCTTAACGCATTGTAAGCTGCCCTGTGTCTCCGGAGAAGGGCAGCATATAAATCGAACCAATAAATAAATAAATAAATTTAGATTGATGTAACTAATAAAAAGAATTGTTCTACAGCAAATCAGGACGGACTGAGTTGGCCAGGGCAAACCAGAGGTGGCGAGTTGTCCTAAACTCTCAATATGGATCCCAGCCTGTTTCGGAAGGCTCGGCTGTGCAAACACTCCTAAGTGCTGAGAGGCACTTTGGCCAGGCTGGCTCTGGCTGCCAAAAAGAATGGCACCAGGCTGCTTCTCCCCAAAGGATGGCAGCAGATGACTTGGGGCACACGGCCCCAACTGGCAGAGTTTTTATTTGGAGCCAAGTATGGCTCATCTCACCCCAGGCACTGGGGAGGGGCCATAGCCCCATGCCTCTTCATGGCAGCAAAATGGAGAGGAATATCAGCCTCTCCCCAGAGGACAAGCACCCCCCTCTGTTTATGGCCCTGTGGAATTATTGACCATCAGCTCCTGGAGAGCCATTGCTCCCACTCCTTTTGCATGTCAGATTGGAACTGGGGTCCCTTGGATGCCTCCCCTCTTGACCTGGCCATTTTTGTGGGAGCTGTTAGGGAACCCCCAGAGCATAACCAAAGGGAGTTCCTTTGCTTTCAGCAGCTCCATGACTTCCCCTTCACAGTAGGATACACCACAAAGGAGTGTGGAGCAGGCGATGTATGGCAGAGGAGGGGCAGGGGGCGCACATAGCAAGCAGGAAGGGAGCAGAGCCTGCAAGACTGCCTGTACCTGATCCTCCACTCAGCCGCCGGTCCTTCAGGTATGCCACTGAAAAAAAGGTGGGGGGTTGAACAGGAGGCAAAAGGTGAGACAACTCTGGGGAAGGGGCGAGAGGACAGGCACCATCAAGGTATAGTGAGCCCTGGACAAGAGGCAGGCAGGAGCACTGGGCCAAGCCCAGTGGGGGGAAGGGGGCATCCACGCTTCCTTTAAGCTTTCCAGCATGGGTAGAGGTGGGAGGGGCCACTTGGCTCCTGTTACCCCAGCCTCCCCAGTTTGTCTCAGTGTGGCTGCTGTGGGCACCAAGGAGCTTCTTGCTCAGCTGATGGAGTAGTGCTGAGCAGGGCTGGGCAACCCGGCTCTGGAGAAAGGTTGCCCACTTTGGGGGTCTGCTTGAAAGAGGAGCAGCCTTGTGGGCATTTGGCCCCATTTTCTGTCCCTTCAAAGCAAAGACCCTCCAAGTTGGAGCTGCAGGGGTTTTGTAATTCAGGCAAATGGTGGATGGCACTTAAGGCCACAGCTCTGATTCAGCAAGACTTGGCCCACCTTGGGGCTAGTGATGAGCCCCTCTCTGGCCAGGCCAGCGGTTTCCTTTCCCACATACCGACCAAAAGCCCAGGTGGCCTCACCGTAGCCCATTCCTTGCAGGAAGTACTTGAATGCCTCGGTCAGTTTCCCAGGCTAGTAAGAAAACAAAGGAGAGACAAAATATGAATATTCGTATATATATTCTAAAATTGTGGGTTGCTCCATCACTGGAGGCTTTTAAGAAAAGACTGGACAGCCACTTGTCCAGAAATATAGAGTCTCCTGCTTGTGCAAGAGATTGGATTAGAAGACCTCAAAGGGCCCTTCCAACTCTGTTATTCTGTTAAATAAACATTTGGGACATTTCATATTCAAATCCAGTTTGTGAATTTCATTCTAATTCTATTTAATTTCCACCACCAATGGGACAAATTCTCCATCAAAACCAAACAGGGAAGGGGAAAAAAATGTTCAAAGTTGATAGAGCCTTTTCTGAACTCAAGAGGTTGAGCGAAGGGCCTCTGACCAAGAAGCCGTAGCCTACTTCCCAGAGGGCCTGCCTGGCCCACAAGGAAGCTGGCCTGGGAGGTGGCGGCCTTAGTTCTGGCCCAGCTCCAGGCTCCTCTGCAGGCAGGGTGAAGCTCACCTGAGTCACTTGGGGAAGCCCTCCGGAATCAGCCATCTAAGAGGAAAGCAGAGGTTGCATCTGGACAGGCTCCTCCTGCCCTTGAGATCGTCCCCACAGCCCACCCCGATGGCCCGGCCTGCCCTGGCTCTGAGGGAGGCTGCCCAGATGCTTCTTTCACCTTTCTTCAGGGCAGCACTTGAATGTGGACACTTGTGCTTATGGAAAGGTGCTTCAGATATGCTGTTTTTCTTCCCCCTTCTATTATTTTTTTTGGGGGGGGGGAACCAATGTCTGTAAAGTTGGAATTGGTCTCTAATTTGGGGGGGGAGCCAAAGGCTACAAAGGCCCTGCAAGAAAAGGCCTCCGTCCATTCATTCCTTGTGGACCCTCTGAATGGGACTAAAACTCCAAGCCTGAGCTGTAGTCCAGCAACATTCCCCCCCCCGCCATACACATTTATTTAAAAGAAGCAGGGGTGTACAGCTTGCCCTCCTTTCCTTCCTTTCTCAGTGGTCTGAGAGTGAGAGGCGTTTTGAATGAAGGGGAAGCAGCTTGTCCTGGGCTTCACAAGCAGATGCATTGAGCATCGACAACAGCTGGAAAGATGCTGCCCAGGCAATATGGACACAATTCTGGAGCAAAGAACTCCACTTCTGTGTTCAGGTAAGTGGAATGAGGTGCCAGTCAGGAACAGGAGGGACCATAGTGCTTTGCATCTGTGCCACAGCGCTAGCAGAATCCACTCTTTGCCACAGGTGCCAACGGGCACTTTCCTTCAAACTTGGCATGCCCAAGTGTATGTTTGGTGTGCAAGCCCCCCCCCCCCCAATTGCTCATGCATTTGCAGGCATGAGCAGGCAAGATGCACAATTAACTAGGCAACCAAGCAGAGGAACACTGCTATCATCAGAGGGAAGGAGAACATCCAGGAACCCCTGGTAAGGGCTGGCATGTGCTGGTCTGCCGACTCACCTTCAGGAATGTGGTGGTGGTTGGATCCAGCTTGGAGTTGCATTCAACCTGCAAAGAACAAAACTTCCACTAACACCAGGCGTGGAGGGCCATGGCAGGCAGGCGCCTGCCCACTGAAGGGGGCAGGGCCCCCCTTCAATTAAATCCCAGGAAACTCAGGGTTAAACATGCATCGTCTCTTTCTGCAACTGGAAAAAATATTTTTTAAGGAAAAGGAAGCAACTGGTGACAGGATTCCTAAATGCGAATTCTCACAACCTAGATATGGCAGCCATCTTTATGTAAAAATGGGGACTGTGTCCATTCAATATCTATATCAATTCTACTCTATCCCAACAGCAGCCTGATGAAACTTCCACCTAAAAGGTTGGATTGTCTTGGCCTCCTCCTTGGGAACAACCATGGAAGTGGAAGTTTGAGGCAGCTGCCAGTCACTTGCACGTCACCCAAGAAGGGAAGACTGGCTGCTCCAGCTCTTCTGCAGTCTTTCTCAGATGGATTCAACAATAGTCAGTCAAGGAACAGGCTGGGTCACCGTTTCTTGGCAGTGCACTTCAGCTGCAGCTATCCCAGTGACCATAATTAGACCCCACTCCATCTGGAGGTCGTCAGAGGAAGTTGGTGGCCAAAACTATTTCAGAGAAGTCAAATGCAACACAGCACCACAGATGCACTCTGGGCACTATGGCAGCATTTGCTACCAGTTGCCCTTCTGGCAGCTGTGGCTGAAAAATGGCTTTCCTCTCTGGGCATTGCAAAGATCAAAAGATTCAAGCGAGTTTGCAGCCATGAGTGGGCAAGCCTTTCAGCCCGGCTGGCTCAACAGCTCCACTCACCACACCATCTTCTGCAGGGGCGTTGTCGCCTACTACAAGCATCACCGGGCAGCTGCAAACCCAAGGGGAGAAATGCAGTCAGCAGAACAGCCTCCCTCCTGGCCACCACTGTCCCGCTGTCGTGCTGGGACTTACCGGAGCGTCTTGGCATTGGGTGCACTGCCAGGGCGGTTCATCTCCAGATCTCTGCGGCTGAGAGAAAAAGAGGGATTTCAGGGAGCTGTTCAAGGAGATGCAGAGGAGAGTCTGCATTTTGAGGAGAGTCTTTGACCAGCTTTTGACAGAGCCAAACTGGGCCCCCCCTGGCCACTGGGAGCTTCCAAGGCCCAGTCTAATCATGAGCCCAAATCTCCCCAAGAGGAACCTCCTTTCAGTGCAGACCCAGCTTTACTTTTTAATGGAGCTGCCTTTTTACCCAGGTTTATGGGGTCCACCCCAGTTCCAGACTGGGGGAGTATGCTTTTTAAACTCTGATTCTAGATCCAGGCTGTGTTTCCATTTGGTGCCTGCACCTTCTAATGTGGTATTCCTACTGCCTGTTCTCCTTGGTGACAGTTTTTTAGTTATTTCACTGGTGAAATAGTGAGAGCAACTGGCCAAGAGAGGCACAGAAATAAAGAAACTTTATTAAAATGTATGAGAGTTTACTGTACCGCAGTGGTACAACCTCCCACAAGTTCAGGGTGCCACCACAGAAAAGCCTCCTCCCCTTAGTGTCACCACCTCAGGTTCTAAGATTATCTTGGACCCCTCTGCCCGCCAAGGGCCCTCACTGCCAAGACATATGTGTCACAAACCCCCTATGTGTAATCTTTGAAATTGGGGGGAAAAACAAACTTTCCAGATGGCAGGAATCTGGTCTGGATGCTGCTTCCCTGATGTGCAAGCTTAACTTGCCAAGGGGCACAGCAGTCAAGCTTGCTAGTTCTGGCTTCTACAAGGGCATGAAGAAAGCAATTCCCATGACATGGAAGCCCCTTTTCTTCCACTGCCTTTCAGAACAGTACAACTGCAGTACAACTGCTCTGGGTGGCAGTTTGGGGGAGGAGCTGCTTTACCTGTTGTACATACTCCAGAAGAGCTGCAGATTGAACTGGTTCACCGTGCTGGCAATTTGCTGGCGATAGCTCTGCACTAGCTCCATGTTATTGGCCAACTCCTCCTGTGGGCATGGAGATGGCACAGGCAAAGGCAGGCCTGGCAAGCAGCCCCTGGAGCCAGGCCTGCTCTTGGAAGTGGCAGTCAACCCCCCCAAGCCCAGCCCACACTTGGATTGCTGGCTGATTGTGAAAAATGGAGAACTTGCCTGGGGTGGGTGGAGGGGACATGACAAAAGGCTTTTGCACTGCCAGTAACAGACAAGCTAGGCACAGAAGCTTTTGGCTAGAGCTACCTGCCCACTAGAAGTTGAGAGGTCTACCTGCATTGAAGGGGGCACCCCCTCCTACTCAGCTGACCCCCTCCTGTCTCAGATGAGACATGACCACAGATTCCACAATGCCTGCCAGCCACCCCTGTCCCAATTTCCACTGTTAGAACAATCCCTTTCAGTGGCATGGGATGTCAGGGAAAACTGTTGGCGGAATGGCTTGGTGTCCCCACCCCCACCTTTGCCTGTGTGAATGAGCCTTTTAAAGCAGTTTCTACAACCATCCTGTGGTGGCTGCCGGTCTTGCAAGCAGCCACCCCTAAGAGGGGAAGGGAAGGGATTCCTTGCCATGCAAGGACCTGAGAGGCCTGTAAACCTCCCCATCTGCCATTGCTTTGTCTTACCTGGCTGAACAGATGAGACAGCACCATGTCAGATAATGTGCTGGTCAGGCCAGAGAGCTGAAAGAAGGAGACCAATATCAAGAGACACATCATCACTTTCCTTGATGCAGTGCAAAGCCACCCAAATGCTCAGGGCCAGAGTCTCGTCTGGCCCTGAGCATTTTCAGACAAAAGCTCAAGTGTAGGGCAGAGCAGGGCACCCTTCTTTGCCCAGCCTTTGATATTCAGAGTTTGGCTGGCCAAATAGTAGGGAGAAGCCCTACTACTCTACTACTCTACCATCTCTTACTATATTCAACAGCAGTAGAGTCCTTCAAGTTTTATAATCTGCCAGGATTTGAAATGGACACCTAACATTAGAACCATTATTTAAAAAGCACAACAAAGAATGTTCTTCCTGCATCAATTTAGGAAGTTCAGACTGCCCAAAGAGCTGTTGATACAGTTCTACAGAGGAATTATTGAATCTGTCATTAGTACTTCTATAACTGCCCAACAGTTATAACTGTTCTATAACTGTTCAGCAACTAAACAGGACAGGTACAGACTCCAAAAGATAATTAGACCTGTAGTAAAAACAGTTGCAGTCAGACTGCCTTCCACTGAGGACCTGTGCATTGAGCGAGTCAGAAGGAGGGCTGAGAAAATAACTACAGACACCACACATCCTACACACTAGCATTTCAACTCCTTCCCTCGGGATGCCGCTATAGGGCGTTGCATGCCTAAACAAGTAGACACAGGGACAGGTTCTTCCCTTGTGCCATCATTCTGCTGAACACCTGAACTGTCTTATGTCTAAATTTATTTACCCATGTTGCATTATTATTATCCTTTCCATCTTCTCTACATCTTATTGGTATCATTATTATGATTACAATTACTCTGTTGCTTTGCCATGTACGCTGAGAGCTTCTGTGCCAGAGACACATTCCATCACACTTGGCCAAAAAATGTATTTGACTCGACTCAACCTGATCTCTGCCAGATGTGCCAGACTGCAACTTCTCCAGATCCTCTACACCTTGGCCTTCAGGAGATCTCCACTCTTCAGCCCTTTTTTCTCAGCCTGGAAAAATTATGCCCAATCCACCCTGGAAGATTACCTTGCTGGCAGCCCAGTCAATCCAGCCTTTGCCATTTGGGTCAACATTGATCAGAACGAGGCCTTCCACCAGATCTGGGAAGATCAGCTGCAGCAAAACAGATACAGTTTATTCTGGCTTGTTAGCTTGATTTGCAAGCATCCATAAGGCAAGAAGAAAAACCTGCAAATTGCATCTACACAGCATACATAAACAGATCTAGAGGCAACATTTGGATAATGTGCAAAACTAGGTTGTGCAAAGCATTTGAAATAGATGTTGTGAAAAGCAAAGTCTTTCGTCTGAAGCACCCTCTGCAAGCTTTGAAAGCATTTTCTAGCTGTCTCTGTATCAGTTTTGCCTACTTCTCCACAAGAAAGTTTTTGTGTCACACACACAAAAAAAGAAAAGTGCTGCAAAGTCCTAGTCTTTATTCAAAGTTAGAATATTAAAGAAGTTTTGCTTGTTATTTGAGAAGACTCTCTTAAGAGTCATTATGAACTTTGAAAAATGTGGTCCCAGAAACCCCCACAGAACTTCCTGACACCATCACAACAGCAAGGGCTTCAGTTCAGCAGAAGACCCCACCCCTGAGATGAACCAGGCCCTGATAAAGGATGATGCAATGGAAAAAGGAAGGACTTTGGGAGAGGGGGACGACAGGATCAAGCCAAAGGAAATCAAGCACAGAAGTGGCCACCCTCTTGCAAGAAGTGGAGTGGCTGCAAGGGCAAGACTCTGTGCCAGTTCTGCCTGCCATAAACCAGATTACCGTATTTTTCGGTGTATAAGACGCACCTTAATTTTGGGGGAGGAAATAAAAAAAACAAGAATTCTACCTCTGCCTACCAGCATTTTGGAACGGTCTGGGGGGAATCTGCCTGGCAGCTTCAGGGAACAAGGTGGGTGCCACGATTTGCGGTTGGTCAGCCCTCTGGCCGCCCAGCAGGCAGCTTAGGGCAGGCAATGGCCACAATGACTTCACTTCCCTGCAATGTAGGAGCTGACGCCTAAGCCCTCTGCACCCAGGAGCCGAGCAAGCCGAACGAGAGCTCCTAAAGAAAATCGCCCTTCCTTTCCAGCCACCGCTGCCCAGATTCCCCAACGCAATAATCAGAGCCGCATTTTTGTTTTTTTTTTAATTCGATTTATATGCCGGAGACTCAGGGCGGCTTACAATGCATTAAGCAATAACCTTCATACTTTTGTATATTTTATACAAAGTCAGCTTATTGCCCCCACAATCTGGGTCCTCATTTTACCTACCTTTGAAAGGATGGAAGGCTGAGTCAACCCGGTGAGATTTGAACTTGCAGTAATTGCAGGCAGCTGATGTTAATAACAGTGTTTTAGTCTGCTGCGCCACCAGGGCTCCTTTCTCGTTGGGAATGTGCAACGGGAAGAAAAGCACTTTCAGGCGGAAGTGCTGCAATCCCCTCCCCGAATCCAAAACGGTTCCCAGTTCCCTGCTGCACATTGCAGGGGAACTGGCCGCCCGCTGCCTGAAACGCAGCTCTGATTATTGCATTGGGGAATCCGGGCAATAATCCGGGCCCCTCCTTTCCGGGCTGGAAAGGAGGGGCGTTTTTCTTTAAGAGCTCTCGTTCGGCTCGCTCGGCTCCTGGGCACAGAGGGCTTAGGCGGCAGCTCCTACATTGCAGGGAAGTGAAGTCATTGTGGCCATTGCCTGCCCTAAGCTGCCTGCTGGGCAGCCAGAGGGGTGACCAGCTGCAAATCGTGGCACCTGCCTTGTTCCCTGAAGCTGCCGGGCAGATTCCCACCTCCCCCCAGACCGCCCCGAACAGGGTTGTTCCTCAGGTTGTGCCCCAACCCAGATCGCTGCTGCCTGAAATTGCCTGAAAATGGCCGAAGGGTGGGGGCTGGTGGGTGGGCGGGGCTATATTTGGCGTATAAGACGCACCCAGATTTTCACCCCCTTTTGGGGGGTAAAAAGGTGCATCTTATACACCGAAAAATATGGTAATTCACTCTCTATGTGTGGGTGAAACCAGGTAACTCTCTGTGGGTGAGGAAGGGCAGGGAGACTGAGAAATTCCCACAAGGGTTTCAGGCAGGTCTTAACCTCGAGGATGGAATGGAGCCAGGAAGATTTACGGGTTTGGCCATAGCTATGTTTATCCTGCTTAAAGACACCTTTTGTGAAAGGAAGATGTGTTAAAAACTGAGCAGCCCTAGGAAAGCTTGAGCCCATTTCCTTTTCAGAGCAAGTCCCTAAGAAGGTCTGATTTCACACTTTGACAAATCCAGTATGGATTTAAAGTGAAAAGTGGAACAGAATGTCCTGAAGACCAAGAATATTTTCCTGGTCACTATGGATCTCCTAGGCGGAACTTCATCAATTCTGGCTCAGGGAGGGGAGTATCCATGCTGCAGTGGAGTATTCCGGGGGCCACAGAGATTTGAAATGGGCACACTCAGCTTGGAGTTTATTGATGTACGTTTATCAGCTTACATGCCAGTTCTGACAGAAAATGACTCTAGGAAGCTTACAAAATAAGCTCAAGGAAAAAATATAAACTACAAAAAGGACAGAATCATCAGAAAAATGCTTGGTGCACAGTGAGAAAGAAACACTAAGCAAAGACGTCCCGACACAGCATCATCAGGGAAGCGGCCCATTGGAATAGCTGGACATCTGCTGGGCCAGGGGTGGCAACCACCAGCTGAGCTGGACCCAATTTGGCAAGAGTTACAATTGGCTGGTTGCAGGCACTGGATGTGGCAGCCATGGAAGTGTCCAATCTATACCCTGATAACCTCAGCCCAACCTCTTTCTCTATGGATACGGGCACGGTGGACAGAGCTGAGTAGGTCTTGGCAACTTTCAAGAACTCCTTGTCCGACACCATTTTCAAGGGGTTGCTCATGCAAGGGAAAGCGCATATTTCTGGCTTTCAGGTGAATAGGTCCAGGCTCTGATAAAAATAGAAAAGCTTTCAGCTAAATAAATGACCACCAGATGGCGTTACACAAGTTCTACTCTAGAAGATGCCAAAAGAGAGGGTTCCTTCTCAGAATGCATATAGGCCCCTCCCTCCCTCCCTCCCTCCCTCCTTCCTTCCTTCCCTCCCTCCAGGATCCCCCCTTTTACACCAGGGCCAGGCAGAGCACTTACGGCAAATTTGGCAAGAACATAGGCACCTGCTCCAACTCCAATTCCAATCACATACTTGAACCTATGAAAAGAGAAGCATCAGAGACTTTTTGGCATCAATTCCTTGCTTCATTCCCTGCCAGTTCCCAAGGCTCAGTTTATGGCCAACTAGAATTGGGGTCATCCAGATTGGCTTAAATGGTTCCAAATGATTGCATACAAATGGTTGTTAAGCAAGGGGTACCTGGATTACTTTTTAAGAAGTTCCAAAACATGATGCCTCCATAACAATTTTGTTAGGCTAAGCAGGAAAAGGGCCATTTTTGAGATCATCCAGTGAAGTTATGCTGGAACAGAGTTTGATGTGAGCTCTGATCAGCCTAAAACCTTCAACCACCAGGCTGCCAACTGAAGCTTTATTGAATTGGCTGCCCCTCAACTGTTTCACCACTTGCTCAAAAGGGCCAAACTCTGCATTTTAGAAAAAAGTCATTGTCAGCCACCTCTAAAGCAGGAAACCCTAATTATCTTTAAATAGCAAACTACAGCCAAGTGCAAAGTGCCAGTTTTGTCAGATGCTCAAAGGCACCAGGGGACGGTGAGTTCTGGTCCTGCCTCAGGCACAAAATCAACTGGGTAGCCTTGGGCCAATCACTTTCTCTTAGCCCTAGGCAGGAGGCAATGGCAATCCACTTCCAAGAATGTGCCAAGAAAACTGCAGGAGTAACCCCGGCCATGTAATCGACAGGAAGCAAGACTGGCAAGACTCTCCTTCTTGTACCACACCATAAAGGCAATATGAGGGCAATATGAGCCCCCAAACCCCATGCTCACCCAAAATGTTGGACCACACTGGGCAACATGGCAGCTAACTGGTCCATGGATGGGTACTGATACCTATGGAAACAGAGCAAGCAAGAAGTTCAGAAAGATTCTGTCTGTCTGTCTGTCTGTCTGTCTCCCTCTCTGTCTCCCTCCCTCCCCACTGTATATTTATATTTCATATGGCATAACAGAATACAGCATCAATACATAAAATTCACAAAAACAGTGTATAAAATGTGCATCAAAAGATAAAACATCAAAGCAATGATAAAAGATTACCTTATTCAAAAAGGGCCCTATCACCACTTAGGGCTACCTCACACACACACACACACAGAGAGAGAGAGAGAGAGAGCTCTCCACCCCATCCAAGTGAAGGCCACTTATGGCCTTCATTTGAGTTCTCTCTGAGAGCCACATGACAGGGACTCTGAGGCAGATCCAGGATCCAGAACAGGCCTGGCAAGGAACCATCAGGGACACAACCACACAGCTGGCCATCAAAGAGGACACAGAGGCCTTCTTGGAAGATGCTTACCCCTGGGGAAACTGGGAGGCCCCAGACTGCTGCCCAGGCGCATCCACATGGCACACCACAAAGTGCTTCGTGATCTCTTGCATTTCCTCAGAATTGAAGAGAGTGTTGAAACAGAGCTTGTCTGCAAGAAATAAGAAAATTAGAGCTAGAGAACTAAAATCTCTGGGTTGATTCTAAACTGATTTTGTAGCTTTTTAAATTCTTAAATCTTGAATCTGAATTTGTATTCCCATGTTTAACCTTATTTATTGGATATTCTGATTTAATTTGTCTTTTAACAAATTAAAAGTCAAATTAATTATTTCTGTTTCTTATTGTTGTGAGCCATCCTGAGTCCTTCGGGAGAAGGGCGCCATACAAATCCAATAAATAAATAAATAAATAAATCAAATCAAATCAAATCAAATCAAATCAAATCAAATGATACCCCTTCAACAAGGAACTCAAGCATTGACTTCTCTTACTATTCCAGGCAGGGCAGGAGAGCACCTCCCTTTTATGCCAGAGGCACCTAAGGCCTTGTTCCTGGTCTTGAGCTCAGAATTCTTGGTCCAAATATGTTTCATGTTACTCCAACACTAAAGCTTTTCAGGACTGTTGAAACTACTGCTGCTTTCCACACAGAATGTCTATGGTGATTCTCAGTCATCCAGGTTATCGTTATCCCAAAGGTGCTATTTCAAAAGGCAACTGGACTTTGTTTGCTTGAAGACATTTTGCTTCTCATCAAGGAACAGAGGTCAGAACTGAAGAAGCTTCTTGGATAAGAAGCCAAAGGTCTTCAAGCTAAACAAAGAAAGTCCAGTTGCCTTTTGAAAAAAGCATATTTGGATTCCATTTGGAATAAAAGTGGAACAAAGATAATGGTTATCTATTAATGCCTTTACAGCACTTTCAGCTATAATCTCTTCCAAGGTGACTCAAGCCCTTCCTGTTGGTGGATTCAGCCCATTCCGGTGTTTCCTACAGAGAGGCCGGGCAACAATTGGCAACCTCCTCAGGGCATGTGGAGAGTATCTGGCAAGCCAGCCAATCCGCTCCATTCAATGGAGGTTCTTCCCCAGCCGAGGAATGGAACAGGCACTCGGCCTGAAGGAGCTTTGACTGGCTGGCCTCTTTCCTATTGCCTGTCCTTGCCTGCATAGGTCTCCCATGCAGAAAGGGGCTGATATAAGCCAGGGCAGTAAAAGAGGGGAGTTGAACTCTAAGAAAGAAGGGCAAAGAAACACCACTGGCTGCCTCTGGACCTTCAGCTTCAGCCCATCTTCCCATCTCTTCCTGTCCATACAGCTTCCTTCTTCCTAAGCCATGAGAATGGTGGCCCTGGTTCTAATTAGTTTTCAGGGGATTTGGGTGTTTGCAAGCCTTTTTAGTCACTTTGTGGAAACACAGCCAATATTTTAACTATCTCTTGAACTAAGATAAGAACTCCCTTTCAGCATCTCCTCCTCTGTAGGAGGAGGAAAGATTTGGGTTTTTTTTTTTTTTTTGCTATGTTCACACAGCAAAAGTACTTAATACGTTTTCTAGATTCACATTATGCTGTGAATCAAAATTAACCAAAACTATTGGGTCTGCACACTAGGTTACACCATCAGAACAAAGCCTTTTCAATGGCATTGAAAAACTTGGCACATCAGCAAATGTCAACAAAATGGCCGCCTTGACAGTGACCATGTCGATCACTCGTCCTTCTGGTAGCAAGCACAAACAGCCAGTTTGCAAGTCAGGCACAACAGAGTCAGGTTTAGGGGGGAAAGGGGTCTGGCCCTCCCTCCCCAACCAGAATTAAAAGTGACCCACTTACGATTGAGCCCCACATCATGGTATGTCAGGAGGGCTGGGCGGTTCCCTCTGGCGGATCCCCGAAGGACGACATGCAGCAGTCCGTAGGGTGTCTCGATGTCATGCTCCTGGAGGGGGAGAGATGGCGACATGAGGTCGGCCTCGCTGAAGGGAACTGGGCTGCTGCTGCTACCCCCTTCTCTAGGCCAGGTCCTCCAAGGAGGCAGGCACAGGGGGAGCCAAGGCAGCCCCAACCCACTGTGACGGCTGCATTCTTCCCTCTGGCCGCCATAGTTCGCCTCTGTCCAGGAGGTCCACTTACACAACCCAGGCTCTTTGCACACTGTCATCTCCTCTGCAGGGTTTTCCACAGTGTCAGGCTCAAGGAACCACAAACGACACAAGGAGTTCCTTCAGAGGAACTTCTTACTGGTGCTTGCACCGAGGTCTTGCCAGATTTGAGCACTTGCCTGCATAACTATTACATCTACCTGTTAGATCTACTATTAGATTTGCCCTTTTTCTGCATGCCAAAGACACTGAGCTTCTTTGCCTCTTGGCTCCCCAGGAAAGCCCCTCCTTCCTACTACTCTGGCCTACATTCCCCCAGAGTCCCTCAGGCATCGCTCCAGCAAATAGTCAGGCATTTCTACCACCCACACCCCTTCCTTGGATGAAGAATTATGGCTCTGCAGAACCTGCTTCTCCATAACTGCATTCACACAACTCCCTTGGTTGAGGAGTACACATAGATTGAACCATCACAACATATATTGAACCATGAACAAACTATGCAAGGTGTTTGCAACCTGCTCAGCCACAGGAAAAGACAAGCTGTCTTCTGCAAATGCAGCAACTGCATTCCTACATTCCTATAAACACAAATATAACTTCACTGTCAGCAGTTCCAGCGAGAGCAAGCCACCCACAGATTGTGAAGGATGTTAAAGATCTGAGGTCTGAGTTTGCCTGCTGGTAAAGGTGCAGGGGCACAGACCGTTGCCCTCGATTCCTGGTTCTCCTTTCCTGCAGGGAGGCTCTGAGCCCTCTTCCAGCACCCCGCTTCATCCAGCCAACCAGCACTCATAACCCAGCTGTGGGATGATGGAGGGGTCTACTCTCCCACATGGACCAGCCAAGAAACCCAAAGCTGGCTTGCCAGGGGACTCAGGCAGCTGCAGAAAAAGCAGCACCTTCTGGTAGAGGGGACCAACTCTCTTAAGCAGGGCTGACCAGCAGCAGGAAGGGGTGGGGGCAGAGAAGATGGCCACTGTCAAATCATGAGCACAAAGCACTAGAGGACTGGCAGCTGGCAGCATCCAAAGGGTCTGGCTGGTGGATATTCGGACTCGGCCTGCAGCTGCCAAACAGCAAGCGGCAAGTTCAAAATCTTCACTTTTGCATTTGCAGCAAAACGTTGAATAACCCCTCTCAGCCTTCGGTCTCCGAATGGTTCAGCCCGAACTGCTCCCAGGCCCCGCGCCGTTTTCTGCCTCAATGAGAACTTCAAGGACGCCGACAAGGTCTCGGCCAGCTCCGCAGCGAAGCCCCCACCAGCAGGCCAGCCTCGTCTCCACGGCGGGCGGAGGGCGCGGTCCCCTGAGAAGCCCCCCCCAACCATCCCGCCGGCCATCGGCAAAGCTCCAGAAGACCCTTGAGCCCCTCCGGCAGGGTGGCCGCCCGCTCTCTCCCGCGGACCCGCGTTGCGCTTGGAGCGGCCCCGGCGGGCAGCCGCTCCTCCGAGGCCTGGCCGAGAACTGAGGGCGGCAAGGTCACTACCCGGCGCAGTCCGGGCGGGGATGCCGGTGGCCGAGGCAGGGCTTGCCGCCTTCCCCGCCTCAGCCCCCGGCGACTTCTCCGCCCCCGGCCGCTGCGGGGCACCTACCCCGTCCCAGCACTCAGGCATCTCGGGGACTCCGGGGACGAAGCGACGCCGCGTCCCACTCCACCTCTCTGCACTGGCGCCGCGCAGCTCTGCAGTGGGCTGGCTTCGCCGCTGCATTTAAGGGCCAGTCGCGCCCCTCCCTCCTTTCCTCCGCCCCCTCGTCCTCCGCTGGCCGAGCGGCCGCCGATCCCGAAGCTGCTCGCGGGGAAGGCCGGGCCGCCACGCTCGGGAAAGGGGCGCACTAGGGCGGCGGCGGGGACCCCTGGCAGGGCAGCGCCCAAGAACAAAGGGTCGCAACGCGGCCTGCCCTCCCCATGCCCGGCGAAGCGGCCTCCAGACCCCCGACACCGGAGTAGAAGCCGGAGTGGGAAATAGCGGCAAGGGGAGGGGAATCCTGGGGAGAAGCACCTCCGGGTGCCGGCAGAATTAGGGGCCAACAATGGCCTCATGCCTGTTCTGACCCTTTCCCTTCCTTGCCTCCTGCAGGCAGTCTTGATGCCCTCTGGCCTTGGCGGGACAGACCTCCTTGTCCACTGCTCCTGGGAGGAGTGCTAAGGCTGGCTCCCTCTTCTGAGGTCACCCTCGCATGGCTCCCAGGAAGAAGTCTGCCAAAATCCCCCATCTGTCCCCATTTGCTGGGCCTCTTTTCTTACTGCAACTGAAGAGCAAGCAATGTCCTTCTTGCTCTGGATCTTATGCTATTTAAGATTTTTAAAGATCCTTAAATCAGCAGTTATTATTTCAAAACCCATTAAGGTGTAACATGCTGTTCAGGATTTTCTTTAGCGTTTGGTCACTGCCTAAATATCAATAATAGAAGACCATCTTCCCCCCCCCCCTTATAGCTGTCTATCGGACAAGAAACTGAAGCATATGTTAGACATTCTACATGTCTAACATATGCTTCAGTTTCTTGTTCGATAGTCTAAAGATAATTCTTGAAAATCTACATTATTTGTACAATCACTATTGGGTGTGTTTGTGTGTCTCATTGATTCATGGTCAAAATATGGTTTACTAAATTAACCCTAAGTTCTGAGTTCACAGCACACTGAAATTAACTGCTAGGGCTTATAAGAGTCTTAAGCTAAAATCCAGTGGGCTGGCTTGTGTGTTCTGTGAAAGTAGCCATTTGTAAAATTTAGGCATTTGGTTTTATGACCCTATGACCGTAACCAACCAACCAACCAACCAACCAACCAACCAACCATCCAACCATCCATCCATCCATCCATCCATCCATCCATCCATCCATCCATCCATCCATCCATCCTATCCTTTGAATTTACCTCCCTGGGTCTGCATCAAGGCAGAGCAAAGTGCAGAGCTCCTGGCTTCTGTTCTAGGTTCTGGTGCTGTTCAACCTACTTACAAGGGATTAGGGCACATGATTATCACATTTCCAGGTGACACAGAAATTGCAAAGTCAGAGAGGACAGGACCACCTTGATAAACTGGAGCAATGAGCAAAACCCAGCAGGATTAATTTCAAAAGGCGCAAATGTAAATATCTACATTTGATTAGTAAAAGCCAAAGGAAAGCAAAGGAAAGGACTAAAAGAAACAGTTGGATGTCTTTGCTATGTTTAGTGTCAAGAAAAGGGGACCGAGAGACAGTACAGAGCCTTGATAGCACAGGGGTTTAGTGCACCCTGTAATTAACACAGCTGCCTGCAATTTCTGCTGGTTCGAATCTCTCCAAGGCTCAAGGTTGACTCAGCCTTCCATCCTTTCTAAGGTAGGTGAAATGAGGACCCAGTTTGTGGGGGCAATAAGCTGACTTTGTATAAACATACAAAAGAATGAAGGCTATTGCTTAACGCATTGTAAGCCGCCCTGAGTCTCCGGAGAAGGGCGGCATATAAATCAAATTAAAAAAAAAAAAAAAGTACAGCTGTAGTACAGCTGTCTTTCAACATCTGAAGGGGTCTTAGGCCAATCATTCCAGAGCAGAAGGCAAGAAAGCTTTAAGTGACAAGGCAGCAGACTCTGGTTGGACCGCTCCACAAAGGAATAGGGTGAACCAAGTTCCTCTGTGTGGAGGGGCTGGAAAAATTAGCCATCCACCAGAGGTGGAATGACAGCTGATCTCCAGGAACCTCCTATTGTCTATTGATTCTCTGACTTCAAATTATGGGGCAGCCTTTCTAGGAAATAAGAATAGGAATTATTTGTGACATTTCTAACCTGGACAAGGAGCTCATGTGTGTTTTTGTGTTTACAATCTGCCTGTGAGTTGAACAAGCTATGAGCCAGTGACCAGCCCAAGCCCCCCTTTCAAGACTGGAGGTCACTTCCTTCCCTGTGATGACTCTCGTGTGCCCCTTTGGCCACAGCCCCATTAGGAGGTCAGATTTTGTCAGCTCATTACAGAGCCTTGCCAAATGAGGCCCAGATGTTAATGTTCAATAATTGCCAGAGGAAAAACAAAAATGTAACCATCTAAGCAATTTGCAGGGGACTTCTAGGACTCCATGGTTACATCTTCAGCTTGTCACAATTGTGGGAAGCTGATAGTCTAATTTTCAAATGAAAAAAAAAAACACCAGCAAATGTGGAAGATTCTGTCTGAAGAAGCCAATTTCACACACACACCTCCCCAGAGCCAAGGCGACAAATGAAGGCTTGGCATTCCGCTATCCTTGGTGCTGAAGCTGTCCTGGTCCCACGGGCCGGCCACACCACGCTTGCCTGTGGCCCCCAGGGGGTTCCGCTCTCTCTTCCACCATGCACCGTCACCAATTCTCTCCTCACCTGCTAGCTTCATTCCAGCCCTTGGCCCAGCTAAGATATTTTGGACTATAAGCACCTTCATACCTAATTACTGCCCACGCAGTAATTGGTTGATGGAAATTACAGCTCAAAACATTGGAATTCACCAGAGACTGTTTTTCTGCCTTACAGAGCATATTGCAAAATAACTGTAGCATGCAAAGAAGTTTTCTGTTTATCTTGCAACCCAGAGAAGTAATTCTTTCCTCTTAGCATAAGTTCCTAGTGTGACTCTGTAGATTTGGCTGTGCAACTGAAAAAGTTCTTTGTTCTCTCCTCTCTTACTGGAAGAGTGAAGGCCTGTTCATATATTTAAATGAAGAGCTGTATTCATACAACAAGCTTAATCTGATGAATTAAAAGCCAAGCACATCATTCACACACACAAAGACAATGTGGTTAGGTAACTTAAATCTAATTTAGGCTTAATTTTGTTTAGTTTTGGGTGGGTTAGAACACTCAGCCTTTTTTATTAGTTTCTGATTCAGTGTATTTGCAAATCCAGAAAATGGGTTCATTTAGTACCAAGTAATTTGTGTTGTGTGAACACAACTGTAGTGTAGTATGTTAAGCCAACCTAAAAATGCTGTGTCTCATGTAATTGTTAAATCGGGTTTACATTTTGGGTAAATCCCAAAAAGCTTCCTTTCAAGTTCTTCCCTTAGCAAGTGAGACTTCCAGGGCAGAGAAGGGGCTGCCCAACATTAGGAAAACAAGCCTCACACAAGAACATAAACTGAGGCCCGGTTCCTGTGAAGAAGGGTTTCTAGCTGCTGCCCCACCTTAAGCACCTCAGAGGCACTTAGGGATGCTTCTGATGCCTCAGCTTCAGCTCCTGCCCTGAGAGGAAAGCCACTCCTAGGAGGCCAAAGAGGACCCAAGGCCCCCAGCCCCCCAATTCTCAAGGCAAGGAAGTCATTGCTTCAACAAAAAGCCAGGCTTTGAAGAGCTGCTCTTGCAGCAGCTTCCACTGAAGGCCTCAAACAGCACTTTAAAGAAACAGCCATGGGAGAAGGAGGATTCTAGCCAATATCTTTGGCCTGAGATTCACCCGCCAGGAGTTAGGCAGCGCTCCGACCTTCTCAGATACAAAAAAATGAACCCACCCAGAATGGGACATCCCCCCACCCCAGTGATTCTTTTTTGTTGGATTTCTGCCACTTCTGAAATGCTGGTCTTGCCAAAGCAGCAACTCCTCCATTCTTTCCTGGATAAGGCAGACAAAATGCCCCCCCCTGCAACCTTACCTTCCAGTCAGTGTCCACTGCGGGCAGGAAAGTGTCTGAATTCTCCTGGAAGGAAAGACATAAAATCAAACACAGCTCTTGCAGCACTTCTGATTCCTATGGATCCTACCACCAGAAAAGCACTGGGTGGGGTGGGGGTATCATATAAAGAGACTCATCTAGTAACCTCCGTGAAGTGATCATTTGCCAACTTGGGGCCCACCCAAATTATAAACACAGGTGTCTAATAGAATTTCGGCTGATTCTGGGGAAAAGCAAAGCAGAATTCAGCCAGGTGGATGTCTGACCACCTGGAAATGCCAGGATTATATGCTGGACTGGGAAATTGAGAGAGAGATCCCAGGGAAAAAAGAGTCTTTCCTGTGGCTTCCAGGGCCAAGCAGGATATGGGAGCCCAGGCTGGGATGTGGCCTATGAGGTCAGCTGCTCTTTCTGTCCCTTCTCTGGATGTTTCTTTCCATTTGCTCTTTTCTTTCTCTTGTCCTCAGGGTCTGTTTCCCTTTTTGTTTGCTCCCACTACCCTCCCACCAGGAAATAGACCAGCTGCATCTATGCGGGGGGGGGGGAATCAAAGTGTGGGAAGCAGCACTACAATCCTCCTGTGTTTCCACTGGTCTCATGACTTGCACACCTCCCAGGGTCTCAATGCTGCTGGAACAGACAAGGGGTTCTTGCCAGGATCCAAAGTGAAGGCAAAGGGCCTTTGGGATGCAGCCAAGTACAGACCAGGGGTGGGATCCTACCGGTTTAACAACCGGTTCGCTGAGCGCGCACACGCCATACATGTGCTGTGCGCATGTGCACAGTTTGTAGAAAATTTCATGTTGTTGAGAGCAAGGAGCTGAGGAGCAGCAATCAACTCTGCTGCCCTGATCAGCTGGGCTTCAGAAGCAGAAATATAGGTGAGTATAACGCAGGGGTGGGCAGGTGGGCCCACTTCAAAGAAAGAGAGAACCAGTTCACTCACAGCTGAAAGTCGGAGCTAACGGTTCATCCAAACTGGTCCAAACCAGTAGAATCCCACCACTGGTACAGACTGCCCAGGCCTGCCTGAATCCCAGCTTGCCGTTCCATGCTCTCATCACTGGCTCCAGGCAGACTCTAATCGAGCTGAGGGACCTGCCTCCAGGCTCAGCAGAATCGGAACTCCAGGAGAGAAGTGAATGACTCACCATCTCAGCATCTTGTCCACGGAGCAGAGGCTTCTCCTCTGTAAATCGCTGCTCATGTAGGCTAGCCATGGTCACTTCCTGGAGCAACAGTCCTGGACAAACAAACAAACAAACCAAGATTAGTCAGTGGTTTGCCCCAATCCTGGAATGCCAGGGGAAAATCTTTCTCACTTCGATGGCAGGCCCTCCTCGTCAAGAGTGCAAAGCACTATGCACCTGGTCATATCTACACAAGCAACCTGGGAGTGGGGGGGATTTAAAACCCCCCAGAAACTTGGCCAGGTCTGAGGAGGAAGGGCTGCAGTTTGCTCTTTTGGAGTCCTTCTCCCGATGGCGGGCCATGTGCACTTTGGCTTAACTAGGGTTAAAAGCTGGAGTTGAATAGGGCCATGGGGATGGAGCAGAAGGCCCTGAAAAGATCCCTGACATTGGCTGCTCCCCCCACCTTTGTGTACTCAGCCAAAGGAGAGCTGCCCTCTTGAAAAGATGCGAGTCCCGAGCCAAATGACAAACGACAAAAGAGAAGAGAGGCTCTGCATTCTCCCTGGGGGAAGAAGGCCAGCATCACTGTGAAACATAAAAGATGGATTGGAAGACTCACACAGCCCTTTGGGCCTGTGGAAATGGTGATTTGCTCCCAGGAGTCGAGGACTGCTTGGGCCTTGTTGGCTGGCAGAATTGCTTATCCCGCCTGGGACTCAATGAAACAAGGCCATTATGTGTCTAAATGGTCTTAGCAACTATAAATCTCCAATGGATAAATCACCATGATTAGAATAAACCAAGATTATTTTTCGATATATAGGAATTGATTGCCAGAGGAATCAGAAATGATTGATTTGTGAGGTTGGGAATACTTTGGAAAATGCTTGCAGGGATCTCCAGCCTTAGCAACTTTAAGACTTGTGGACTTTAACTCCCAAAATTTCTCAGCCAGCATGGCTGGCTGGGGAATTCTGGGAGTTGGAAGTCCGTAAGTTTTAAAGTTGCCAAGGTTAGAGACCCCTGCCCTAAAGCCAGTCATCACACAGCACTGCAGTCTGCCAACATCTGGCAAGAGACCTCACAGGGAATTGGCTTGAGTTTCTTCAAAACAGGCTTTGCTATGTCCTTCTCATGACTGCGCTCCACCTTTGGGCTTAGGAGAACACAGGAATAACGTGGCACTTGTGCAGCACAGCTGACATGGCTGCCTGCAACCAGCAACCAAAAGGGCCGCATGGACCTTCTTCTTTGAGGGACTCTGTTGAAAGTGCTAATCAATCCTTATGTCAAGCTGGGGGGAAATGAAAAGGGGATCTGCAGTCAGGCAAGTCTTATGTGACATTGCTATAAATGGCTTTATAAAAAGTTCATTATATGTGGTAGTGGTGTTAATCCTCTAATGAGGCAGGAAGAACCATAGAAAAACTACTAAACAAAAATGAATTTCTGTTTACAGAAAAAAAATCAGAAATTCACACAATCACACACATAACAGTGATCGAAAGATTTTGCAGATTGCAGGCCTGAACATCCATGAGGAGTGCAGGGCAAGAGGGAAAAGGGTTGCAAGAGTTCCAGGTTGCCTCAACAGAAATATGAAGTTTGGATTGTAACGTTTAAAGCTGTCTTTAATTCTCTTTTAATTAGAAGGCTGTTTCTACCAGGTACACAAAACCCCTGGGCTGGGCACATTTGCGCTCTCTAGTAATGGATTGCACTCACGGAAAGGCCACAAAAAGAGCTTTGGGGGCAACACAAAGCAACTAGGCAAGAGGTGACATGGTGGTCTCTGCTGTACTACCAACGGGCTAACACATTCATATTTGAAGCAAATTTCAGTGAAGAGATAGGATTTGAACTCTATAAACATTTCAGTCATATGAAAAACAAATCCAGAGACTCCAAAGGACTAACTACACTCCAATTCATTACTACAGGAAAGTTTAAAAAGAAAGAAAACGCTGAACTATAAGCCATATCCAATTCACAATCAGTCTGACACCTTCTGACTATCCTTTGTGTGTGTGGCTTTGAGTCAGTGTTGACTCCTGGTGAACACTTGGACAAGTCCCTGCATATTTTCTGGCAAGTCTTTTGGAAGTGGTTTACCTGGGCCATTGCCTCCTTCTTGGGGCCCAGGACTGACTGGCTTTGTGTCTAAGGCAGTCTCCTTTTTCTAGCATGCTTTTAACATGACACCAAATTGTCGCTCTCCAGCCCTCCTCCCTCAATCCTATCCTCCACCACATCAACTTCATCCCTAAAGGCTCCATGGAAGAGCCAGATCCAAAAGCTGAGGCCACCTCCAGGGTGAGGGTTCTTGTGCAGGAGACTTGTGGCAGAATGTCCATCATCCAGACCTTCAGCAGGCAGGGCGCACAGAGGTGTGTGGAGGGGGGGCAGATTCCACCAAAGAGTCAGCCTCTGAGGTGATCCATGAGGCAACTGTGTCTACCTTGAATTGCACCTGGAAGCCAAGCAGCAACCAGGAACGGTGTTAGATGGCTGTGGAGTGTGGATTCACAAGGAGTGATGCTTTTTGAACCAGTTGGATGCCAAGAGCAGCCCCAGAGCAAATTCTAGAGGTTGAATTATGAGGCCTCCTGTTCCAGAAAGGGCAGAAATTGGCACCCCAGTCAAAGCTCTCCTGGCCACAACCAAGTGAACAAACTGATAACAGTTCAGATCATCTCTGACTTTGGCAAGAGGCCTGCACAAGAGTTAAGGCTAGTCAGCTGGGAACCAGCAGTGCTCAGGCAAGAGAACTCAGGCACATGAAGCCCATGTGCCTGACTCCGAAGGCTAGAAAAAGAGAAGCCAAAGTCCATTGACGAGGAAGGGCAAAAAAAGACTTCAGATTCAGCCTTGGGCTGACCATGTGCAGATCTTCTGTCTTTATCTGTCTAGCCAACATCTTCTTTCTTGTCTGCAAAGTGAACAACTTATCTACCAGGATCAAATACATGGTGGCTAGTTACTAATCAAATACATGGTGGCTAGTGAGTTTCTGGAGAGCATCTTGTGACTGACGGCTGCAAACTGAATAGCTCTCTAGGCAGGTTGGACAAATAAGGTTGCTGTCCCTTCTAACACTGGAGTCTTCTGCAGTGGTGGGTATCAAAAATTTTGACTATCGGTTCTGTGGGTGTGGCTTGGTGGGCGTGGCAGGGGAAGAATACTGTAAAATCTCCATTTCCACCCCACTCCAGGAGGTTACTGCAAAATCCCCATTTCCTCCCCATCAGCTGGGACTCGGAAGACAGAGACTAGAAGGGGGTGGGGCCAGTCAGAGGTAGTATTTACCGGTACTCCGAACTACTCAAAATTTCCGCTACTGGTTTCCAGAACTGGTCAGAACCTGCTCTGGTCTTCTGGTTGGAGAGCTGCTTAAGCAGCAAAGACCAGAGAACCTCTACAGCCAATTTCTAGTTAGTTGGTAAGTCTTTTGTCTGCAATATAGACTACAGTTTTATCAACAAAGTGTGGGGGTGTTCATTATGTTCTGCATTGCAAGCTACAGGCTTTTAGATCAGCTTGACTGCTGTATATTTTTAGCTTTTCTGAAAAGCAGCCATAAGATTGGAGTAATAAAAATACATTCCTCTATTTTTCCTGTTATTTATGATTTTGCATTTTGCAATTTGAACATCCCCTCCCCACAGCATCCTTTAGTAACCATGAAGCCCTAACCCCATACCCCAATGCGGAACCAGTCAGGACATTACTATTGTTAAAATATATTTTATTTATTTATTTGGCTTTGCTTGAGCCCCATAGTTGGGGAATTCCTCCAACCTAGAGTCCTGAGCAATTGAAGTGAAAACAGCACAAAAAGAAGTAGAGTTCTCCAGTATCTCTCCTCCCACATCCTGCTGTCCCGCACCTTTCAGCCAGCACTAGTCCACTCCAGTCACAGCCACACCCAGCAGGTCCACAGTACCCTGGAGCGGAGAGAGCATTTCACTAGGAGTGCAGGAACCTTGGAACAGAAAGCCTGCACCACAGAGGCCCGCAGGAATCTACCATACACCTTGGCTTCTGTCTCAAAATGTGAAAAAGCTGTCATGTTGACAAAAGTCAGTTCCTATCCTTCAAGGGAGGAAGGTGTGTGGGTCACAGAGAACTTGTGGAGACCCAAGGAATGTGACAAGACAAGCAGAAGCAAAACTGGGGTCAGACAGACCCTCCCAGATGATAGTATGCTGTACGGCATACTGGTGATGTACAGTGATGTGGTGGGAATGCCAGCATGGGCCACGTAGCAGAGCTTCCCCATAACAGGACCCCAGCCACATCAGAGGAACGAAAGAGTATCTCCCAAAACAGCTCCCATCTCCTGTTGCTGAAAGGGCAACCGCTGGCAACAACCAGTGACTCTGACTGGGCCAGACAGGCTTTATTCAAAATTTGTGGGCTGCAAACCTGCCACTGAATACACCTTTCGAGAAGTTAACATGAACTCAAAATGACCATATGATTTACATTATTCTCAGAAATCAGCAAAATTAATTTTAGGGGAATAGTGAGAAATTTCCAAAACTGCTGAATTTGTTTTTTGAGAGAGTGAAACAATAAGCAAAACCTGGAATGGACAGAGATCTGTCTGTCAGAAAGTACTTAAAATCTGAGGTTGAGACAAAAAGCAAAGTGCACACAGCCTGCCCCCTCCCCTGTGCAGGAGGGGCAGGAGAGGGCTGAAACCAAAGGCCTGGACCCCATTCCTGAAGTGCATGCTAGGCAGGGCAATAGAGCCACCATTTCTCAGCTTCCGAGTGGGGCGGGAGTGTCTCAAAAAGTCACAAGATGTAGCTGGCATCTCTTCTGTGACCATTTTGCATCATTTTCTCTGTACCATTCTCTGTACAATGGTTAATCTTGGGATGAAATTTCATCACTAAAGGGGGATTTCGTCCCATCCCATTTCAGACAAATGACTGTCCAGTCCTCTTATTAAAAGCCTCCAGGGACAGAGCACCCACAACTTCTGAAGGCAAGCGGTTCCACTGGTTCTCACTGTCGGGATTCTCCTTATTTCTAGGTTGCTTATCTCTTGGATTAGTTTCCATCCGCTGCTTCTTGTCCTGCCTTCAGGTGCTTTGGAGAATGTCTCTCACATAAATCTGTGGAGGGTGATTTGCAACTTTCTGTTCTTTAATTCTCCTTTAACTTTCATTTTCATACCATGAGAAATGCTTTGAGGGAGGAGATGGAATAGCTGCAGAAAAAGAAACAACCCCAAGGCTTCAGTCCTTGTAGCCTTCCTTTGGGACTGTCTTCTTCAGGCAGAATCTGTAGACAGTCAAATGAGATCCCCACTCTGGGGGGCTGGGACTTTGTTGGTGAAAGCCCTCCTGCCTCTGGAACAGTTGGCACCTGAGATTAGTTATGTCCTCATACACATACAAACCCAAAGGAACACCCCCCCCCCCCATGGTTTGGAAAGAGTGGAAAGAGCCTTTTCAGACTTGCTTGATACTTTTTAGCTTTCAGTCATGGTGTTTATTATTTATTGGTTTAAGGGGTGAATCTTAACAGCTTATTTGTTTTCTCTCATAAACTGCCTAGAATCAGAAGAATATCTGACCCACAAATGGCCTTCAGGACAGGAGCCCCTATCGCTGGGGCCAGTGCTGACCTTCAGGTGCTCCCCTGCCTCTGCCCCCTGCCAAGTTCAGCCTCTGCATCCCTGCCCTGCCCTGTTCCTCTCCCTTTGGGTGGCTCCTTTATTCGAGACAAAGCCTGGCTTGAGGCGTCCACCCATTGACATCAAGGACCTGAGAGAATCGTTCTGGGGAAGGCAGGCTTTGTCTTCCCTCCCGTGAGCAATGTTAGTCCAGCAGCCCCCCTTCTCTTTCCTCCTTTGCTCCCCAAAAAGAGCATTTGGCACGACAGACTCTCCGATGCAGAGGAATCACTCCGGAGGAAAGGCAAGGTCTCCAGGCCGGCGACTCTGCGGCTGCAGTCTCGTAGCGCCTGTCCTTGCACCAAGTGAGGTTCCAGCACCCACCGCTTGAGAAACTCGGCTTCTCCGTTGACACCCTTTTACACCCAAGCGGTCGGGGAGTAGCCCTGCCAGCAACGCCCGCCGGCGGCTCCCCGCAGATCTTGCGGCACTGGCACATCCGAGCATTAAGCAGCCACGAAGATTTCCGGCCAAGGAAACCCGGAGCAGCCATTTATTTACCGTACTTATACACGCCCATCTCGTGGGCACCGGGAGCCCCTCCCGGGCCGGCTTCCCAACCAAGCCGCGGATGCTCTAGAGGAGCGGCTGCGGCTGCGGCTGCGGCTGCCGGGCATTTCCCCAGGGGGACCTCCCCCGCCGCCGCCACCCCGTCTCGCCTCCGGGACGCGCCTGCTCTGACCTTCCTGCTCTGGGGCGGCCGTTCAGTTCGACCCCTCCGGCCGCCAAGCCGGGCCTGAGCGCCGCGGCGGGCACTGGCGGAGGCGCCGGGCGGCTGCGCTTTAAACCCCCCGCAGTCGCCGCCTCGGCGCTCGCTGCCCTTGGCAACGGCTGGCCTGCGGCGGGGCAACGGGGGCGGCTCCTGCGCTCTCCCCTTCTCAACAGGGAAAGAGCCGCGCCGGCCACGCCGGGCCCCGAGCGGACAGGGCGGGGGCAGGCGAGCCGGCCCAAAAGCCCACCCTGCCTCGCCGCCTTCGCCGGCCCGGCCGGCTTTCGCCAGAGGTGGCAGGGCGCAGCCACCCGCTACTGCACCGCGGCACGAAGGCTCCTTCCCCCGCCCGCCCCTCCTAAAGCCACGCCGGACCCCCCGCCCCCGGTCCAAGCGGGACCCGGCCGGGCAGCCGCCACCGCCTCACTCATAGCCGGGCCGCCCGCGAGGCGCCTTACCTGTCAGCAGCTCAAGCTTCTGTCCCCAGCCCTTCATGGCGGCGGGCGGAGGAGGCTCTGCGAAGCCGGCGGAGAGGCACGCGGGCGGCGGGGAGGGGCCGGGCGCGGGCGGCGGGCATGGCTCCAGAAGGGAAGCGGGCGAGCCCGGGAGGGGCTCCAAGCGCCGCCGCCAGCCACCTTGCACGCCCTGCGGGGCGCCCTAACGGCGGGCCCGAGTCCCGAAGGTCCTTCCCGAGCGGGGGGCGGCGGGGGGGGGGGCGAGCGCGGGGCCACTTACGGGCTGCGGGCGAGGCTGGCGGAGCGGCGCTTGGCTGCTTGCTGCGCGGTCCGGCCCGGGAGCGTCTCCGGTTCCGGCTGCGCGGCTCTCCCGGCCGCTTCGGGGAGGAGCTTCCCTGACCGGCTCCCTCCGGATCGGCGCTGCGCGGGGCGGGAGGTCGTGCGGGCGGGGTGGGGAGGCGCCGAGGGGTGGGGGCTGCGCGGAGGCGGCGTGACGCGGGCGGCCCGACGGGCGGAGGGGGTCAGTCCGCGGTCAGGCTTCCTCGGCCTCGCGCCCTTCCCGCCCGGCGAAGTAATGGCGAAGGCCCGGGGCCGCGCTGGGGTCTCTGCGGGCGAAGGGAGGCTAGCCCGGCTACCCCCTTGACGGCAGGGCGAGACGCCAGGATGCGAACGACCAGGCGAAATGGTGGCGTCAAAGGGGAGTCCGGGACCCGTACCGCTTCTGGCCGTGCACCGTGGAGGGGCGAGGAGCCCCGGTACTCTCGGAAGAGCCGCAAACCGGCCACGAGACCAAGGTCCCGTCGGGCACTTAGCGAAAGGAGGGCTCCTTGGTGTTCTCTGAGCTTGGGCTTTTTTTCTTACAGATGTTTCATCACCCAAGCTGGGCAAGTGCAGTGATGACGACGACGTCGTAACACTGATGATGTTACCTGGTTGGGTAATGAAACGTCTTTAGGAAAACCGCCAAGCTCGGAGGGCGCCAAGGAGCCCTCCTTTCGCTAAGTGCCCGACGGGACCTTGGTATCCTTTTATTAAATTACTCAGCAAATTGCTTTATTAAAATCGGCACCTCAAGAAGGACTCAACAAAGAGTTCTGCGTGGCAGACCTTCCCCTGGGCGGGGTCTCCTCTCGGCTCTTCCCGGAGCAGCTCAGCACGTGCTTTCTCAGAGGGACCAGCCCCTACCCACCCGCGGCTCAGCCCGTGCAACCGGGCCCTTCGGGGCCTGGAGGGATCCCACGCCGAGGCCGACTTTCTGGGCCGGGCCTTCCTCCTGGTCGAATCCTGAGCAGGGCTTGCCTCCTCCAGCCCCGAGCAATGAGGAGCCATTGCTTGTCCCCTGCCGCCGGACTGGAAGCCTCCGATGGGCGATCCGGTAACCGGCATCGGCTCGCTTGAAGCTTTCGGAGGGCCACGTGGCTGAAGTAGCAGAAACATCCGTAGTCACCCACCCCCACCCCGGCCGTTACGCGCCGTTAGCGTTTCTGAGACACACACACACACCTCGCGCGCATCTCTTTATGGCTCTCAGTCAATGCGGTTTTGAATGTTTAATTCAGCCAAGCCTTGTTTCCATAGAAACAAATGCATAAACAATTTAAACCCATTTATTTTAGCCAACAGCACCTTTGCCATACAGTTAGCTCCAACTGCTTGTTAGTTTCGCACTATTTGTCTATATCTTGCAATAATTCCCTCCTGATCTCTACTTTTTGCATCACAAATGACATGACAAGGAGCCTTGATAGTACAGAGGTTTAGTGCACCCTGTTATTAACACAGCTGCCTGCAATTTCTGCTGGTTCGAATCTCTCCAAGGTTCAAGGTTGACTCAGCCTTCCATCCTTTCTAAGGTAGGTGAAATGAGGACCCAGTTTGTGGGGGCAATAAGCTGACTTTGTATAAAATATACAAAAGTATGAAGGCTATTGCTTAACGCATTGTAAGCCGCCCTGAGTCTGCGGAGAAGGGCGGCATATAAATCAAATTAAAATAAAATAAAAAATAAAAAAAAATAAAAATAAAAAAAATAAATGTTCATTCTATGTCACTATATAATTATGTGATTTGTGTGGATATGTTAACTTCCCTCATGTTTTCATCATAAGCTAAAAAAATGACACACGTTTCTAACATTGTTGGTTGAGAATGCCTTATTCTCATCTAAACATGTCCATTGAATTTTAATAGTTTTAATATCACCAAGAGCAGTTGTTATATAATTTTTATGTATATGTTATTGCATAGAGACTTCAGATTATTTTTCTGTCTTGCATAGTAACCTGCACAGTCATTTTGGGTGGCCTCCAAATCCAGTAAGTATATATAAATATATATGAAATTTAACATTCTACATCCCCATCTTAGTCACTGTTTAATGTTAAATCATTTATAGCATTTCTTTCAATTTCATTATTTGACACATCACTCCAGCCCTTGTAGAGTTGACTTTCAGGGTTGCAATGGTGGACTGAAGATGGCTCCACTTTTGCATTGCTGATGACAGCAGCAAACTGAGAAACTGGTGAATAGATCAGCTCCTCAGAATTCCTCCCTGGATCGAGGATAAGGATTACCCACACAAGTTTACTCTATAGAATCTCCCTGAGAAGTTATTGTAAAATACCGATCTCCAGCAGTTTGGGGAGCTGGAACAAATCATTTATTTTTTTTAAAAAAATTAATCCCATCTTAATTATTTTTAGAACTATGGCAGCAAACATACCCAGTACACTTTCTTCCTCCTAAGTTTCTTCCTATTTCCTCCTATTTTCCCCACAACAACTACCCTATGAGGTCAGTTAAGAGAGAGCGGCTGGTCCAAAGTCACCCAGCCAGCTTTCCTGTCTAATGCAGAACCCACAGGCTCCTGGCTTCTAGCCTAGTGCTTTAACAATGAGATCAAATTGGTTAATTGCCAGTTAGCAAACAGCCAAATTAACCAAATTGGCTAAGCTGTGATTCAACATCTTCAAAGGGACCCTGGATTTGCACCCTTTCTCTCCTAACTGCTTTAGAAAGCTGCTTATTGGTCATTTTGTAGAGGTTAAGAACCATCCAAAGGGCAAGTTTTATTACACAAGGACAATCTTCTTCCACAGAAGAAAGACATTCTATATAGATTCAAGGTTTAAAAACAGTAGCTTTAATTTTTGGAAAACAGCAAAAGGGGGACTACAATGTGGATTTGGGAAGTTAAGGGGCTAGATGGGCTTGAAAGAATATTTATTGTGGAGTGTTTAAAATTTTATAAATATATTCTTTTGAAATCAATTTTGAAATTGTAAGAACTTTCCTCCTGTGGGAAAGTTTGGTTGGCTGGAAAATAAGAGGGTACTTTGAAGGTTGACTAGAAGGAACCGGAGAGAACTAAGGATTGTAATTAAAGGAGAAGAGACCCATTAATGTAACGGAGCAACAGTATTTGACTATAGAAGAAATAAAGGCTGCTAAGAAGGAGGCACTACGAAATCACTTATAGGATTATCTGTTACTATAACAGAGGATAAAGAAGAACAGATTTCATTGGATACAACAGAGGCTCAGACTGATTTGAGTGGGTATTTGGACTTTTAAAAAATGCCAGATTACAAAAATGACATGGAAAAAGATGCTGTGGAGCCAAACATTGATTTTAAAATGCCAAGAATATAAGAGTGATATGAAAAATATGCCACAATGGATTTACAAATTAAACAGCTGGTGACTTATCGAAGGGGACATACAAATAATAAACCAGAAGAATGATCTGGAAACTTTCTTATCTTGGATTTATCAAGGGGAATATGTTAAACTACTGAAGTTGTTCCTCAATGGAGACAAAGAGAAAATGATAAGAATCAACTTGTGTGACATTATTTTATTTATTTATTTATTTATTAATCAAATTTCTATACCGCCCTACTCCCGAAGGACTCAGGGCGGTGAACAGCCAAGATAAAATACAGATAATACAAATATTAAAAATCCCTTAAAATTATTAAATATTTTGGCCAAAACACAGATTAAAACACCCAATTTATAAAATCACGAATTAAAAATTTAAAAGAGGAGAGTTAGGCCAGGCCAGCCTGCTGAAATAGAAGTTTTGAGAGCACGGCGAAACGTGCGCAGGTCCGGGATCCTCCGTATCTCTGGGGGGAGCTTGTTCCAGATGGTAGGTGCCCCCACAGAGAAGGCTCTCCCCCTGGGGGCCGCCAGTCGACACTGTTTGGCCGACAGCACCCTGAGGAGCCCCTCTCTATGGGAGCGTACTGGTTGGTGAGAGGCTATTGGTAGCAGAAGGCAGTCTCATAAATACCCCAGGCCGATGCCAAAGGTGGTAACCAAAACCTTGAAGCGCACCCGGAAGACCACCGGGAGCCAGTGCAGCTCACGCAGGAGGGGGGTCATGTCGCTCCCATAACCACCCGTGCGGCCGCATTCTGGACCAGCTGGAGCCTCCGGGTGCTCCTCAAGGGGAGCCCCATGTAGAGAGCATTGCAGTAGTCCAAGCGGGAAGTAACGAGAGCATGAGTGACCATATTTAACGAGTCCCGATCCAGAAAGGGACACAACTGGTGAATCAGGCGAACCTGATAAAAAGTCCCCCTGGCCACGGCTGTCATGTGCTCTTCTAAAAACAGCCGTGAGTCCAGGAGGACACCCAAGTTGCGAACCCTCTCCGTGGGGGCCAATGACTCGCCCCCAATAGTCAGTGATGGCACCAACTGACTATATCGGGATGTCGGAAATCACAGCCACTCGGTCTTGGATGGGTTGAGCCTGAGTCTGTTTCTCCCCATCCAGATCTGCACGGCCTCCAGGCACCGGGACACCATTTCAAGGGCATCATTGGGGTGGTCCGGGGTGGAGATGTACAGCTTAGTATCATCAGCGTACTGATGGTACTTCACCCCGAAACCACGGATGATCTCACCCAGCGGCTTCACATAAATGTTGAACAGAAGGGGCAGCAGGGAAGACACCCTCACTCAAAGAAGCATTTATAATCCCCTGGAGCCAGCCTCGTGTAACCTCCCGAGAGGCCAGCACCAACCAGGAGGGACACGGGTCCAGTAAACATGTGGCTGCGCTCAGTCTGCCCAGTATCCTGTCCACGTCTTCGGGCGTCACAGAATCAAACTCTTCCCAGATAATACTCACAAGACCTGCCTCTGTCCTCCTCGCTGAATCGACCCAGTCAGAGTCCACGTGTTCCTGAATCTGAGCGATTTTGTCATACAGATATTGTACAAAATCCTCGGCTCTACCCTCCAAGGAGTCCTCCTGCGCTTCTTGGTGGAGCAGGGAGCGGGTCACCCTAAACAGGGAGGCCGGGCGATTATCTGATGATGCAATAAGAGTGGCAAAATAGTTATACTTCGCCACTTTTATTGCCACCAGGTAGGTCTTAATATGAGACCTTACCAGTGTTCGGTCAGATTTAGAATGGCTGGCCCTCCAACCACTCTCCAGGCGTCTTTTCCAGCGCTTCATCTCCCTCAGCTCCTCGGTGAACCAAGGAACCAGGCGAGATCGATGCCGGGTCAGAGACCGCAAAGGCACGACCCGATCCAAAGCTCCAGCGGCCGCCCTATCCCAGGCGGCCACCAGCTCCTTAGTCGAGCCGTGTGCCAGAACCTCAGGAAATGGCCCAAGCTCCGTCTGAAACCTATCAGGATCCATCAGGCGCCTGGGGCGGTACCACCTCAATGGTTCCGCCTCCCTGCGGCGGGGTGCGGCGGTTCGAAGGTCAAAGCGAAGGAGGGAGTGATCTGACCATGACAAGGGCTCAATCACTATATCCCCTGTCTCAAGATCACTCAACCACTGACCAGAGACAAAAACCAGGTCTAGCGTGTTTCCCCCCGTGTGAGTAGGGCCATGAACTAACTGGATCAGGTCCATGGCCGTCATGGAAGCCATGAACTCCCGAGCCACCTCAGACGCCTCACCGACGGATGGCAGGTTAAAATCCCCCATGACCGTAAGTTTGGGGGTGTCAACCGCCACTGCGGCTATAACGTTGAGCAGCTCGGGCAGGGCTGCCATCATGTGGCAGGGAGCCAGGTACGTAACCAGCACGCCCATCCGCACCCCATGACCCCACTTCACAAGGAGGGACTCACAACCAGCTGTCTGAGGAACAGTGGCCTCCCTTGGACCAAGACCTTCTCTAATGACAACCGCCACCCCCCAGCCCCTCCCCTGTGTCCTCGGCTGATGGAATGCGCGGAAACAGGTGAGCACATCTCAACGAGGGCCCCCCCCTCCTGGCCCAACCAGGTCTCTGTAATACCCGCCAGGTCCGCTTCCCCCTCCTGAACAAGATCACAAATGAGGGGGGCTTTATTTACCACGGACCGGGCGTTGCACAGCATCAGCCATTTGCTTTTCTAAACTCCCAAAACAGAGAAGCTAGAACTTAGATGGGCAGTCTACTGAGCAGGTTAAGATTTTAAGACATCTAGGACTAGTTTTTCAAACCTCAGGAAGTAGAAATGCTCACCTGGACTAAGTATCCCATAGTGCATGGAGGACTGCATCAGTTGTACAAACTTACATATTTTCAGAGGAGCAGAGTTTATCCCGCTGCAGTTCAACTGTTTGCAGCTAAAACCTAAGCACAATTGGGCTCAAATATAACAGTATGTATATATCACCTTAGAAAGGATTCAAACAAAATTTTAAGGTTTATTTATTTATTTATTATATTTCTATACCGCCTTTCTCCCGTAGGACTCAAGGCGGTGTACAGTCAAGAAAAACATAGACACACAAACACCACAAAATTGCTAATTAAAATTGCCACTTAGTTTGGTCAATTAAATAAAACCCAGAATTAGATAACATTTAAAAAATCATTCGCATGTTTGTATGTTTAGCCCTGCCTGTTGGAACATCAGGGTCTTGAGGGCACGGCAGAAAGCACGGAGATCAGGGATATTCCGTATCTCCGGGGGCAGTTCATTCCAAAGGTTTGGAGCCCCCACAGAGAAGGCCCTCCCCCTGGGAGTCGCCAGTCGACATAATTTGGCTGACGGTACCCTGAGTAGTCCCTTCCTGTGAGAACGAACTGGTCGGTGGGAGGCTATTGGTGGCAAAAGATGGTCTCGTAGGTACCCAGGTCCTAAGCCATGGAGCGCTTTAAAGGTGATAACTAACACCTTGAATCGCATCCGGAAGACCACCGGGAGCCAGTGCAGCTCGCGTAGGAGAGGTGTTACTTGGGCGTAACGAGCTGCGCCCATAATCACCCGCGCGGCTACGTTCTGGACCAGTTGGAGCCTCCGGGTGCTTTTCAAGGGGAGCCCCATGTAGAGAGCATTACAGT